GCAAGAGATGTTGCAAAATCAGAAAATTTTAAATATTGTTGGACTTCGAACGGCAATGTGTATTTAAAAAAGAGGGACGGCTCCGAATACATACAGATCAAGAATGAAGCCCAGCTTGTGAATTTGAGAAAGTCAGAATGACTAGGTTCAATATTACTTGCCATAATTCTTTATATTTTCTATTTCATAATAATTTTATTTCTTATAAATGCATTTAAACTAAACTGTAACATAAAAATACGTAGCCACCAGACATCTAAGCACACACATATACATAATATACAAAAACACAAGTCACTACATCTGAGAACGAACAATCCTACTACATTCACTCGCAATCACAACATTATACCTACCCACAATCAAAAGATATCCGCGTTCATACCATATTACTTAATATCAAAGTATGTTATATTTAATTTTATATTGTCACTATTCCAAAATAGTTCACTCAATGCTGTTAAAGTGAGATCACAAATTAATTGCTTACAATTTTATTTATTCTCCATGTTTACAAATACCACATTCTTAATTCACCTTTATTTTAATATACCGACATATCGAGTTATGATACACTTAAAATATTTAACTTGTAACTATGTTCGATAAAAATAAACTTTTAGATGAGATTGATAATATGAAACTAACTAATTCAATAGAATTGGAAAATCCTGATATTTGTAAACAACACCTTGGTGATACTTCGAAACAATTCACTATTTTCTCGCAAAACATACGAAGTATAAATAAAAATTTTAATTTTTTAATCGTACTTTTGCATCGTCTACGTTTTCAGCCAGATGTTATTGTGTTAACTGAGTGTTGGCTGGACGAAGCATTTAATGGATTACACTTAGACAGTTATAAATGTTGTTACTCGACAAAATATTTAAATAAATGTGACGGCATAGTGATATTCACTAAGTCGGATTTATTTACGCGTGTCGGAACCAGACTTTAGTGATGCCAACTGTCTACGATTAGATATTGCTACTCATACTGTAATAGCGATTTATCGATCGCCATCTTTTCAAAACATAATTTTTTTTTTAATTTCTTTGGAAAAAATTATAAAAAAATGTAAAAGTCAACACTGCATCTTGGTAGGTGATATCAATATTGATACAAAAGAAAATTCCACAGATAACCGAGCAGAAGAGTATCAAAGCTTGATGGCTCACTATGGTTATGTACCGGGACATATCATACCTACACGAGGACAAAATTGCCTAGACCACTGTTTTATCAAGTCCCCTCAGCCGTCTACGACTATTGTCTGTCATTCCAATATTACAGATCATAGTAGCGTACTTTGTAGCCTTGGCTCAAATGTCAACAAAGAAAAATCTAAAATAACCTTTACTAAAATCAACTATGAAATCTTACATGAGGACTTAAAGCATTTTGACTGGTCGGAACTTTATGACATAACCGATGTCACGGAAGCGACACGATATTTTATCTCTAAAATGAACAGCCTTATTGAAAAAAATAAATCTACTCAGCACTTTCGCAGCTCCAATATTATTGTAAAGAAATGGATTACGCCAGGTCTTTTAAAATCAATTAGAATTCGTGACAAATTACACATTATTGCCTAGAAAAATCCCAACAATCATGAATTACAAAATAAATATAAAACCTACAGAAATATTTGTATTAACTTATTACATGAACAAAAAAATAAATATGAACACAACCTCCTAGAGGAAAATAAATATAACCTAAAAAAGACATGGAGTTCTCTAAAAATGATCTGTAATCTAAACAAATGTAAAAATACAAATGATCAACTATTAAAATTAGAAGACGATGCCATAAATTCTATCAACACAGTAAACAATTATTTCAGTACAGTTGGGGTGCGTTTGGCCGAGACAATTTTGGATGAATGGAAAACAACGGAAACTAAATTAGGCAACAATACACGTCTTACCAATAATTCAAATCAATCAGCCCACTCACTGTTTTTACAGCCTACAGATGTAATTGAAGTTACTAAAATCATAGATACGCTGAAATCCAGTCGGGCCACGGGACACAATAACATTAGCAATGATATGTTGAAGCTTAATAAACACGTGATCGCGATGCCCATAACTTATATATGTAATCTTAGTTTGTCATCGGGAATAGTGCCGAATAATTTAAAAATTGCAGAGGTAATACCTATCTTTAAAGCAGGTGATCCATTGGAACCGGCCAACTACAGGCCGATTTCACTATTAAGTACGGTGTCTAAGGTGATTGAGAAGGTAGTTAATATGAGGCTTCTTGAATATCTAGAGGTGAATAGCCTTTTAGCTCCTAACCAATATGGGTTTCGCTCCGCCAGGTCCACGGAAGATGCCGTCACGGGTCTTGTTGATTTTGTAACTGATAAAATTAACGATGGACAAAAATGTGTAGGTATTTTTCTGGACCTGGCGAAAGCATTTGATACTGTTTCGCGACCAATACTTCTGAAAAAACTAGAACTGCTGGGAGTTAGAGGACTAGCGTTACAGTGGTTTCAATCATACCTTAGCGAGCGAAGGCAGAGAGTACGAATAGGAGAATACGCAAGCGGTTATGCAGACATTGCTTACGGCGTGCCCCAAGGCAGTGTTTTGGGTCCCACTCTCTTTCTGACCTACATCAACGATCTCTGCTCCCTCAAACTGCCACAGGCTAATATTTTTACCTTTGCAGATGATACTGCCTTAATTTTCCATGCTAAGACATGGACAGAGGTTGTGGATGTGGCTCAGGAGGGCCTTAGATGTACAGCCAGTTGGCTAAAAAATAATTTACTTACTCTCAACGCAAGCAAAACAAAACTTATAGCTTTAAGCATAAGCAAAAGATCTGCTCTAAAGGAAGGTCTAAACGTAACACTACACACATGTGAGTCTGCTAAGCATCTAACTTCATTGCAATGTCAATGCCCGACTATTGAACAAGTTTCGTGCACAAAATACTTAGGCGTAATGATCGATGAACACTTATCGTGGAAATCACATATCGATGCAGTAACGACACGTATAAGAAAACTATCTCACATATTTAAAAAAATAAGGTCTGTAGCGGAACCGCTGCTTATTCGAGCTGTATATTTCTGTCTCTGTCAATCTATTTTGGGTTACTGTATCACTGCTTGGGGAGCGTAAAAAAAACCCACCTTCTTAAGCTCGAACGCAGCCAGCGAGCTATTTTAAAAATAGCATTTAAAAAACCCTGGCGTTATCCTACCAACACACTGTACTCAGAATATTACCTCCTTCGTGTGAGACAGCTTTATATTACCTCGGTACTTCTTCGCTTTCATAGGGTTGCGAAGACCCTTGTGCGAACCTCACACAGAACTCTTAAGTGGGACACACCAAGGGCTCGTTCTGCTTTTGCTCGTCAATCTTTTACATTTATGGGACCCTATCTTTACAAAAAATTTTTCAAAAGTAATAATACTATAATAAACTTGACGTCATTCCGCCTTAAAACTACCATCCAAAAATGGTTAATACCTATGGACTATGCTGATATTGAAAATCTGCTAAATATTGTTATCTAATATTACGCGCGCACCATCTTACACCCACACCCTAACACACACACACACACACACACACACACACAAACACACACATGCACACACATACACACACACACACTCACATACGCATACACACACACTATCTTATATCTTTATATGATATATATTTAGTTTTTCTCTTAGCAACTGTCCAACATACACAATAAATGCATTACTTTTTTTTTTTTACTTTTTAATACTATCTGAAACTTACGGAAGGGACTGGACCCCACGACACAGGAAATCCTAGTGTGGGGGCCAGAGATATTTTGTTTTAGTACTTAAGTACTCATGTAATTGTGTAAGTGTAATAATATGTTGTGAACAAATTTTTGCATAAATAAAGATTATTATTATTATTATTATTTACCGATGAATCGAAAGAAAAAGGTGGTGCGGGGGCGGCCCTCTTCGATCCTCAGCAAAATACATTCGCTCGCTATGGAATTAGGGTAAAAATGTCGATCATGTTTATTGAACTAATAGCTATTAGTGAAGCGTTATCTTACATTCATTCTATTGACCATGACAAGTTCGTTATTTTTACTGACGCTAAAAGTGCCCTCCTACATGTAGCTCGGTGTACCTCGACAATTCGAGGAATACCGATGGCATACACAATTATGAATCAAATTGTTGAGTTAGAACGGAGCGGTAAAACAGTACATCTTCAGTGGATTCCATCTCACATTGGTATAACTGGGAACGAAATGGTTGACACACTTGCAAAGCAGGCTTGTTCTGAAGGTATATATATTTCAATACTGCCTTACTATTCAGACTGCCTATATCTCGTAAAAGAATACTGTTTTAAATCCTGGAGAGAATATTTCGATAAAAGATCAACCGAAAAGGGTATCTGGTATAAAACTATACAACCTGAACCGCTGGCTATCCCTTGGATTGATAACTGTTCTTTGAGTAGACATAAATTGATAACGGGTATGAGGTTACGCTCTGGACACATCCCATCCAGAAAGTTCACCTTTTTAATGGGTTTATCATCTGCGCCAAATTGTGAAATCTGTGGTGTGGTAGAGGACGTAGAACATGTTTTGATGGAATGTGTTCGGAACCAACAACTGAGAGAACGCTTGCTTAATGATAAGTTGATGGACATTGGAAGATGTAACAGCATCCTGGCCAGTCCTTTGACGGATACAGCTAATGATATTTATACCTTGTATTTACAATATTTAAGTTAAGTTTAAAACAAAAAATGGCTATGATGGAGCGACGTAGTCATCATTGTGGCTAAGCTCCGTAAATAAAGAAAAAAAAAAAACCTGTAAAGCTTCGACATGCTGTATCTTTCAGTACTTAGACCATTAGTAACTTTGCGTAAGTTTCATCAATGACAATATTTAAAAAAAAAACACAATAAACATGTTTTATAGTAATAACCCTCTTTTTCTATATATATTTTTAGTACTCTTCGTGGAACACCGAAGCCATCAATACAATGGCATTTCCAGCACAAGACGAAGAGTTTAAAAGAACTTGAGGAGATTAACGAAGCTCTACTGTTGAAGAATGTAAGCGTCGACGACGAAGGCAAATACACGTGTAACGCCAGCAATATAGTGGGATCACAAAGTTACACCATAGATGTGATCGTAGAATGTTAGTAGTACACATATTTTGAAAAAGTTTAAGTGTGGACTTAATTGGCGTTGCAATGTTGGAAGCAGCTTTTTTTTCGTTACCTTAAAAAAAGAAGCAATAAAAAAAACACTAACGTCTTTCGCCAAACTAGAAACTGCTATTCAATTGCTCCTTGTCTGTTACATATCGTATTAGTTGTGTTGTTTCTTATGCGTAATATGTGTATTTACAAAAAAAAGAAAGTAGGTATACAATTATTCTGACAGTCAATCTAGCTTTCATAGTACAAGCTCTGCTTAGTTTGAAACTAAATGGTGGTGTTTGAGATGTCCGAAATATTTATTTATATGCATTTGAAATGGTTATTATTTCACAGATCCACCGTCAATTAAAGAAGATGGAATCAAAATAATCGAAACTAAAGACGGCGATGAAGTAATTTTACCTTGCAAAGTCGGTGGTTCACCCACTCCTACAGTAAGGTGGCTAAGAAATGGTATAATACTGCACAACTCGATGAACATTTTAACAACCCCCGATTTCAGTCTCAAGTAAGTAAATAATATGTAAATAGTCCCTTATTAAGGTCACTGTGGTGACTCCATGAATAGTCGATTAGTCAAACGGTATGTACGAGTACACAAGAACATTTAATCCGTAGGGTTTCGTTGAACTATTAAAACCTATGTCTTGTATATATTCCTATAACCTACGTCTGTGTTAATAGATGGTATAAATATTACTCATAGACTCAGCCATGGTTACACAATCTTATTTACCAAAACTCTTATCCAGAACCAATTTGAATTCTTCATCCATTTTAAAATGCCATTGTCAAGGACTTGAACTTATTTTTTTCTTTTGCTGATTTCAGAATCACTGCAATAGGTGTATCCGACACTGGATCTTATACTTGTGAGGCTGAAAACCATCTTGGCTCTATCAAAAAATCTGTAGACATTAATGTCTTTGGTAAGTCAGTAAATACGCAACTAATATGATCAAACCCAAAGCTTTCCTGATGACGCACTTTTAGCGGATTCCACACTCTTAGCGCCAAAAATTTCATAGTCGCCAACTTAAACAGCTCTGAAGTTGCAATCTCCATTTATATAATAATACATATTAAAAAAAAAATAGTGAATGTGTCAGTAAACATCAATACTACTTTACTTTCCGAAGTAATGATTTTACCATTAAAATATAGCATAGAAGCTGACAAAACAACAAAGAATTATCGACAAGTAGACAAAATGGTCATAGGTGTAAATATAAGATAGCCTTACAGTATAAAGTGCCAAATTATTACTTTCAGACAAACCGGTAATCGAGAAACCAGTCGAGAAAATACGTGCCGTAAAGGGAACTGACGTTCAGCTTACATGTCGGTGAGTGGCCGCCAATGTATTATTTTGTCCAGAATGCACTATAACACCACTAAGAGTACTTAGGATATACATTACATAGCACAACATTGGGGATTGGACAAATCACATTAATATAGTTTCCCTAAAAAATTAAGCATGAATTTTCAAATCAATCTTCTACTTTTAAACATTATCAAACCTGTAAAGCTTCGACATGCTGTATCTTTCAGTACTTAGACCATTAGCAACTTTGCGTAAGTTTCATCAATGACAATATTTAATAAAAAAAACACAATAAACATGTTTTATAGTAATAACCCTCTTTTTCTATATATATTTTTAGTACTCTTCGTGGAACACCGAAGCCATCAATACAATGGCATTTCCAGCACAAGACGAAGAGTTTAAAAGAACTTGAGGAGATTAACGAAGCTCTACTTTTGAAGAATGTAAGCGTCGACGACGAAGGCAAATACACGTGTAACGCCAGCAATATAGTGGGATCACAAAGTTACACCATAGATGTGATCGTAGAATGTTAGTAGTAAACATATTTTGAAAAAGTTAAAGTGTGGACTTAATTGGCGTTGCAATGTTGGAAGCAGCTTTTTTTTATCGTTACCTTAAAAAAAGAAGCAATAAAAAAAACACTAACGTCTTTCGCCAAACTAGAAACTGCTATTCAATTGCTCCTTGTTTGTTACATATCGTATTAGTTGTGTTGTTTCCTATGCATAATATGTGTATTTACAAAAAAAAGAAAGTAGGTATACAATTATTCTGACAGTCAATCTAGCTTTCATAGTACAAGCTCTGCTTAGTTTGAAACTAAATGGTGGTGTTTGAGATGTCCGAAATATTTATTTATATGCATTTGAAATGGTTATTATTTCACAGATCCACCGTCAATTAAAGAAGATGGAATCAAAATAATCGAAACTAAAGACGGCGATGAAGTAATTTTACCTTGCAAAGTCGATGGTTCACCCACTCCTACAGTAAGGTGGTTAAAAAATGGTATAATATTGCACAAATCGAAGAACATTTTAACAACCCCCGATTTCAGTCTCAAGTAAGTAAATAATATGTAAATAGTCCCTTATTAAGGTCACTGTGGTGACTCCATGAATAGTCGATTAGTCAAACGGTATGTACGAGTACACAAGAACATTTAATCCGTAGGGTTTCGTTGAACTATTAAAACCTATGTCTTGTATATATTCCTATAACCTACGCCTGTGTTAATAGATGGTATAAATATTACTCATAGACTCAGCCATGGTTACACAATCTTATTTACCAAAACTCTTATCCAGAACCAATTTGAATTCTTCATCCATTTTAAAATGCCATTGTCAAGGACTTGAACTTATTTTTTTCTTTTGCTGATTTCAGAATCACTGCAATAGGTGTATCCGACACTGGATCTTATACTTGTGAGGCTGAAAACCATCTTGGCTCTATCAAAAAATCTGTAGACATTAATGTCTTTGGTAAGTCAGTAAATACGCAACTAATATGATCAAACCCAAAGCTTTCCTGATGACGCACTTTTAGCGTCATCAGGAAAGCGGTGGATCTGTGAAATAATAACCATGCGGATTCCACACTCTTAGCGCCAAAGATTTCATAGTCGCCAACTTAAACAGCTCTGAAGTTGCAATCTCCATTTATATAATAATACATATTTAAAAAAAAATAGTGAATGTGTCAGTAAACATCAATACTACTTTACTTTCCGAAGTAATCATTTTACCATTAAAATATAGCATAAAAGCTGACAAAACAACAAAGAATTATCGACAAGTAGACAAAATGGTCATAGGTGTAAATATAAGACAGCCTTACAGTATAAAGTGCCAAATTATTACTTTCAGACAAACCGGTAATCGAGAAACCAGTCGAGAAAATACGTGCCGTAAAGGGAACTGACGTTCAGCTTACATGTCGGTGAGTGGCCGCCAATGTATTATTTTGTCCAGAATGCACTATAACACCACTAAGAGTACTTAGGATATACATTAAATAGCACAACATTCGGGATTGGGCAAATCACATTAATATAGTTTCCCTAAAAAATTAAGCATGAATTCTCAAATCAATCTTCTACTTTTAAACATTATCAAACCTGTAAAGCTTCGACATGCTGTATCTTTCAGTACTTAGACCATTAGCAACTTTGCGTAAGTTTCATCAATGACAATATTTAAAAAAAAAACACAATAAACATGTTTTATAGTAATAACCCTCTTTTTCTATATGTATTTTTAGTACTCTTCGTGGAACACCGAAGCCATCAATACAATGGCATTTCCAGCACAAGACGAAGAGTTTAAAAGAACTTGAGGAGATTAACGAAGCTCTACTGTTAAAGAATGTAAGCGTCGACGACGAAGGCAAATACACGTGTAACGCCAGCAATATAGTGGGATCACAAAGTTACACCATAGATGTGATCGTAGAATGTTAGTAGTACACATATTTTGAAAAAGTTTAAGTGTGGACTTAATTGGCGTTGCAATGTTGGAAGCAGCTTTTTTTTTCGTTACCTTAAAAAAAGAAGCAATAAAAAAAACACTAACGTCTTTCGCCAAACTAGAAACTGCTATTCAATTGCTCCTTGTCTGTTACATATCGTATTAGTTGTTTTGTTTCCTATGCGTAATATGTGTATTTACAAAAAAAAAGAAAGTGGGTATACAATTATTCTGACAGTCAATCTAGCTTTCATAGTACAAGCTCTGCTTAGTTTGAAACTAAATGGTGGTGTTTGAGATGTCTGAAATATTTATTTATATGCATTTGAAATGGTTATTATTTCACAGATCCACCGTCAATTAAAGAAGATGGAATCAAAATAATCGAAACTAAAGACGGCGATGAAGTAATTTTACCTTGCAAAGTCGATGGTTCACCCACTCCTACAGTAAGGTGGCTAAGAAATGGTACAATATTGCACAACTCGAAGAATATTTTAACAACCCCCGATTTCAGTCTCAGGTTAGTAAATAATATGTCATCATCATCAACACCCTTTATTTAAATAATATGTATTCAAGCACATTTAATTCAAAGGGTATCGTTGTACCATTAATACATACCTATATCTTGTGTATATTCCTTTGACCTACGTGCATGTTAATAGATGATATAAACATTATTCATAGTCTCATATATTGTCACACAATCTTATCTGAAAAGACTCTTAGCCAGAACAGATTTGGATTCTACATTCTCACGATCAAATAAACAATGTGCGATCACGGCTCGAAAAACGGCGCCAAATCAACTTGGCCACATTTGGAAGAAAGCACAGTTGCGCTTACAGTCGCTTACCGACCGCGTTGATAGTATGCCGTTCAACGACGCTAAAATGTGCAGTGAAGAAACGCAAAAACCACACTTTAAAAGTGCAAAAAGACGATGGAGTGTTATGTTTTCGGTAAAAAAAACTTAGTTTTGACATTATGAATTGTTTTTCTTGACAAAATTGCTCTTTCTTCAACTATATATATATAATTAAATCTGTGTAGGCAAAAATCTAATATTTACTAGTATAACCTATGATATGCCATTATACGGGCTTATATAGTAACATACATAAATCTGTAAAACTGTAATCGATTAGTACATACTAAAAACTGATATCGATATCTCTTAACATGACCCCATCGCTATACTTCAATATGTCAGAACTGTCCTTCCTTGTCAAACCTTTCTATATCTATACATATATATATATATATAGAAAGGTTTACACAGATTTAATTAAAATTACATAATTGTTATGTAAGTTATGTACTTTTCATTTTGATTGTTCGATGTCAGATGAATTTTATGTATTATTAAATACTTTAAGACGCCTGTATTGTATTGACTCGTTATTAATAAATAAGATTTATCGTACATTTTAACGAATATTCGTTTTCAAGTAAATTTGAAAGCCGCACCACTACGGTAAATAACTACATAGCTTTGCAACGAAGTTGGAAAAAAGACATCGATTGTGTATAAATTGGTTATTTTGCTTTGTTTCAAATATTTGATTTTAAATTTAGTTATTAAATTCTACATTAAGTAGGTCGAAATTGCCCTTTCCAGCAGATCATTATAATGAATTTCTTAGTAGATAGCAGAGATTTAAAATGCAGGGGCGAGGCGGCTGTCGCTGTGACGTCCGTATCAGGTGGCAGGCACGGAGCGTGCCTGTCATTTAATGAATATTGTTTTATAAATATATATCCTGAAGTATAGTCATATCATAATAATAGTATAATTAATGGCTCCACACTGACATCACATTAGTAGTATGTATGTATTGCACCCATGTTTAGCCGTAGATGATATTATAATAAACATAGTCTCATCTAAGCACAAATTCGAATTCTGCATTCATCTTAAAATGCCATTGTTGTAGAGTTAAAGTTTATTTTTTTTTGGATTCAGAATCATTACAATACATGTATCCCGTCACTGGATCTTACGCTTGTGAGGCCCTAAACTTTTTTACGTTAAAATTCAAGCAGTGTTAAGAAAAAATTGAATGGTTGTATCTATTCTGTGGCTTACAATTTTGGGAACAACCAATAAAAATAATGAACAAATAAAATACTTTCATTTCAGGCATCAATCACAACCCATATTGTGTCGCCAACCAATGTACCATTACTATACAATTTGTTTTCTTTCCGATTTTAGGATAAGTGAAATAACGGTATCAGACACCGGATACTACATGTGTAAGGCTGAAAACCATCTTGGTTTTAGTAACAAATCCATTGAGATTTTTGTATTTGGTAAGTGACTGACTAACGACAAAGTGACGGCTGACTGACTAAAAGATTGAAGTGTGTTAAAGATTGAAAATGAGAGAGTGAAGCTAGTAAATGAATTTATATACCTAGAAAGTTTATTTACTAGGCAAAAAAAGTATGATAATAATAATAGCTTCACACATCTCACACACGGCCGTCTGGTTCCAAACTAGGCAGATCCTGTGCTATGGTAACTGATAAACATACTTATATATTTCTAAATATATACATATTATAGATAAATTACACTCAGACACAGAACAAATCATCGTGGTCAACACACAATTATTTGTCCTGTGTGGAGATCGAACCCACGACCTCCGGCTTAGCAGTCAGGGTTACTAACCACTAGACCAACAGCTGTCAAAAAAAGATATTAAAAGAAGATTTCATATGGAAAATTCAGTTATCAGTGCCCTAAATTATTTTGTGGAAAGTGAAAACATGTCATTAAACGGTTTACGAGAAAGTGTTGCATAAACTCTGATTTATGGCAGTCAGAAATGGGTGCCATACCCAAAAGAAAGATGAAGATTAAATTACTATATTTTAGTATTTTTGTACCGATACGACCTTGAAACGTTCAAGAAACGAGTTTGTGACTCCTGAGTTGTAGGCATTCATGAGCGGCCCATTCCAATAGATAGCTATTCAGTGAAACTTCTTACGTACACCTACTTACGTGTAATTTGAGATTGACTGGACAGTTGAAGTAAAAAAATGGAGTGAGTGGAAAGATGTAGAGACAAGAAGAGCAAAAGGAACGTCATGATGGTTTGGGCATGGTAAATGACTAAAGTTGATGATAAGACATTAATTTGGCCAGTGTGAGGGTAGGCCGTATACTGATCTGATCGACAGTATACTAAAGAAGGGCCTTGTCAAATCCGTTACCAGCAAGGGTATTTTAAGGGACTAATACGAAATGAATGCGAACTTATTACGTAAGATTTTTTTACGCTGACAATGCAACAAATTCAATAGACTTGATCACTCTATCTATCTATCTTCTAACACTATCCCTTTTCTTCTTTCGTTTAATGAAGTCACAGTGAAATAGAAGGCATGCCTTTGTTGTAATGGACCCTTCGATATTTATTTTAGATAATGAAACTATGGAACATGTCATTTATCATTTTATTAACCACATAAAAGTGCTTCTTGTAATAATCTTTCAGAAAAACCAGCAATTGACAAACCAAAGGAGAAAGTACGTGTCGTAAAAGGAACAGAGTTTCAACTGACATGTCGGTGAGTCTTAGAGTATATCTGAGACAATTGTCTCTGTATCGTATACGCTTCTAATAGTATTTGAACAGCAACGGAAAACATTCTGCAAATATTTTTAGAACAAATTCTTATGGTGCATTGTGATTTTTTTGTATTTAAGTTCATAAAGTGAAATGAACTCCACAGCCACAGCAGTAATGTTCTATGTGGTGATCGAACCCACAAAACTTAGCGCAGTAGGAAGCGTCGAGGTGACTGCTTAAACCACCACGCCATTCATGCAGTTAAATGCTTAAGAGTTCTGCTTACACATGTTTGTGTAGGAGTGGGTTCTTGGATCATATAGGTCCCGACTGATCCCTGTACATGCAATCAGGTTCTAGGAGTACGTTGTTTATTTAAAGTTTTATCAAAAATAATTTTGTTTGTGCTTCTATGGGTCTTTGGATTGTTTTGATTCATATTTGATAAAATTGTTTACAATAAGTCGATTGATTACACTACTATAATCAATCTTAACAATGACGTAAAAGTAAATTACTATGCTTTTAAGTCCATAAGCAATCGAAAGTTAGCAAGAGACCGATATTAAATTAAAAAAATGCAGCTCACAATTCCTGACACTCTTATTATTTCAGTATTCTACGTGGAACGCCAAAGGCAACCATGCATTGGTCCTTCGAGAGCCGGAAATCAAAGAAGTTTAAAGAACTTGTGGAGACTAACGAAGTTCTACCATTAAAGAATGTAAGAATTGAGGACGAGGGCAGATACACGTGTAATGCAAGCAACTTAGTGGGATCACAAAGTTACACAATGGATGTGACCGTAGAATGTTAGTAACAAATATGTTTTAAACAAGTAAATACGTTAAGTTTGTAGTCCGAGCACTTTCACTTTTATGTGATTAAAATATAATTGTTCACATCGTGTATTAAGAAAATAAAGGGTCTATCAATAGTCTACTTTATTTCTCTGCATAAGCCAATTTTCTGTGCTTAAATGTAAGAATATATTTGCATTAAGACCTTTGTGAGAGACCCTTCTCGCTATAGATAGTCATGTAGATACAGAAAAACCTTAGCAGCTATTTTTAATTAATAGTGTTTTTTTTATTCTGACATCAATAATTTTCATAAAAAAAGGAAAAAGACAATCGGTTGACAGAGGGGTAGAAGGTACTGCCCTGATTTATCTTTGCCTTTTATTTGTAGAATGATATATTATGTTGTATTTTATAGATCCACCAACAATCAAAGAAGACGGAATCAAAATGATCCAAACTTTAAACAATGATATTGATGTAACTTTACCTTGTAACGTCGATGGCGTACCCACTCCTACAGTAAAGTGGGTACGAAATGGTACTACACTACACACCACTAAGGATATTTTCACAACCAGCGATCACAGTCTCAAGTAAGTATATATGTACGTAATTCTTAAGATTGATATGTTTATTTATTTAACTTCATGCACAAGTTTATGTATCGGCGGATTTAATGCCTGTAGAATGCTACAGGCATTAAATCCGCCGATACATAAACTACGAGTCAACCGATTGGGCGATGAAGAAAATATAGCATGAGGTAGGTGCACTTAAAAAAAGGTAATACTCGTAAATGGTATACACATTAAATACCTACTTACTTTACCTTAAAATAGTAAATTAGCAGTAACATATACACGCATACATATTTTTCTACCAACACACCTTTTTTTTCCTTATCATTTCAGAATCAGAACAATAAAGCTGTCCTACACTGGAATTTACACTTGTGAAGCTGAAAACTATCTTGACTCTGCTAGCAAATCTATTATTGTTTATGTATTTGGTAAGTATTTTAACACTATTTATGTGATCGAGCATAATCAAGGTTGTCTGATGATTGGTGAGTCTCAAATCTAAGAATACTCTCAACAGCAGAGAGTAAGCACCCCTGTCCCTTACTCGTAACAACGATCTATAAATCCATAGAATAAGAGTTGTCTTCACAGTCTGATACTACAACGCACAAACTTGTTCAATAGCTGTATAGAAGTAAAATCAAAAGGAAGTGTGCTTCATCTGATGAAGGCATCCAATCAAAAATCTTTTTAAGAATTCACCCGCTTTTAAGAATCGGTGACAATAGTAAAAGTCAAGTCAAGTCAAAAACGAAAAGAGGCCACGTCTCTGTCCCGTAAGTCATCACTGTCAACACAAACTTTTGTGTAAAAAACGTATACGTGAACTATTTGTGAGAGTGTTGGACGTGTTGGTGATGGTGGGTGTAGCATAAAAACTAAAATATAGCGCTAGAGGAATTAAAGACAGGAACTTGCAGATTTGAAAAAATAGACCATTAAACCTTAGACGTAAATAACAAGCAGCAAAAACACATGTCAACTATGTACTTACTAGAGCAGAAAGTTCAAACCAAGATGTTTTTCACATAGACTCTGGTCTGAAATAGGGTAAACATATTACTATAGTGACAACGCGATTGAGACGTTTAATACATATATTTAAAGCCCTGAGAGATTCTGCTAAGTTAGACAAGCTGAAAGTAGTCTACATGACCCTGTTCGAGTCCATTGTCCTTTACTGTTTCGCAGTTTGGAAAAGAGCTGCTAAACCCATTTATTTACTCAGCCTGGAGAGAGCACAAAGAGCAGTTCTGCAGGTTATGCCTAAAAAACCCTACAGGTTCCCAACCTATTTCTGGACTTAAGCTGCAAGTTAAAAAAAGTACGACATATCTTTGTGCTTAAATCTACTCTGAGAAAGCACCGAAATGTACTCCCTGTAAACACAAACAGACGAAGATTTATGTCCTAGGGTTTATTGCAACACCAGACGTTAATCTGTTAGTATAGACTGCAAACTTTATAACCATATAAACAGAGAAATACGTATTGTTGAACTTCAGTATAAAGTTTGGAATTGGCTTATGCCATCTAAATTATCATGAAACGGAAAATTTATTGCAAAAAAAATATTATTTTACTCTGGAAGGACCAACAATTAATTTGCTCTCCCACACACACGTACCCACATCTACACTATTTTGAATTATTTTCTCTACTTTCGTAATTTTAAATGCATTAAAGATTATTTTATTATATTGAGTGCCAAGTTCATTGCGAATCCGATCCGGATTCATTGCTACTGAGTGTATATGAGTATAAAAATAATATATAAGTTTTGATTTTTCGATAACTACTTACTATAATATTTTAGACAAACCGGTGATTGACAAACCATACGGAGAAACACGTGCTCCAAAAGGAAGTGACGTTAAGCTTACGTGTCGGTAAGTGACAATTTATAAAACACATTTGACAAATTATTGTGCCAATTTATTTACCAATTATATTAATCAATTAATCTTGAAAATAACATTTCTTTAACGTATCGATTTGCTCAGCTGCGTGCGAGCTATTATTATATATTATTTGTTTTTTTTTTTTAAATAAACGTCTATTACTCGTCAAGTTGTTGAGTCTATCGATTTTAAACCAAGCATTTACCCAGTTAGGGAGAGGGTACGAGGATCACGAGATACGACAATAAAAAACGATAAAGCTACTCTTATAATGGATTCTTGGGAATTAATAATAAGTTGATAAACATATTTTCTTATGTAAGTTACATAAAATGATAGTCTTAGGTACTACTAATTCCAAATGTGTTTCCGCAGTATTGTTCGAGGAACGCCAGAGCCAACTATGCAATGGTATTTCCAGCAGCGGAAAGCAAAGAAGTTTAGAGAAATTAAGGATGATACTGAAGCTCTACTCATAAAGAATGTAGGCCTCGACGACGAGGGCACATACAAATGTAACGCCAGCAACATAGTGGGATCTCAAAGTTACACTATGGATTTGGTCGTGGAATGTAAGTAGTACCTAGTAAATCAAACTTGCACATCCAACTCAAGTATGTGGAAAACAACAACACAAACCCGTTCAAACGCTAGCAACAAGTTCCTATTGCTTTTTGTAATTTCAACTTTCGAGATTTCTTGGCACATTAGTCATTAAAGCTACGTTTTAATCGGGAACACCCAAATATTCCGAAATATTTTATTTTGAATTACGATGTTCAGATTTTCAAAAGTACGAATTTCATAATACTTAAAAGTCTTTAAGGTCTTCGATTGGCGATCGCCAGGTTTAAGACTTCTGGCGATTTACTATCCTTAATGTTTGAGTATACTACTTTCCCTAATGACTCGGCCAGCTGGCTGATAGGTACTAGGGGTAAGGTAATAACGACTGGCTAAGCTGAAGATCAGCTCTTGAACCGTAGTGCTATCGGCCAGGGATAGGAATGAAACGCCTTTGTTGGTTCCAAGAGAGGAAGTGTGTTTAATACATAACGTGTTACTTATTTATACTAAATGCTACAATACAAATTTCTCGTTTTACCGTGAGAAAATCTTAGTGTGCCCTTTTTATTGCTATTTTATAGAGGGTCTGTTTAACGGTGCTAGGTTATTTTATTTTCGTTTTATTTTTATGTGTTTACAATAGTCGGCATATTTTGTCATTTTTTGAACAATAACGGGACGCAACATGTCTATTAATAAAATTCACGAAATTTATTTTACAGAAAGTCGTAAATGTAATGTGTTTGTTTTCCGATTTTTATACGTTCGAAGGATCAAATGCTCGATGGGTTCTCGGTCTCGAATTTCCGTTTTTTTTCTTCGAATAAACCGCTAAAATTAAGATTCCGTTTCTGATCGAATTAGTATAATATTCAGTTACGCATATCTATTTAAAGGCTATAAATAACGTTTTATGTAATTAAAAAATGTGTATTTTGTTATTAATATTTGTGTATTAATTTTTTTTTGCGTTTTATTCTTCACCTTTTATATATCTGCGTTGTTTAAAATATACTGTTATAGAATTCTTTAAGTCAGGTTAGGTTAGCTGTTCTACGGATCCGTTCCAAGAAAACCGCCCCTGGGCCGGACGGAATACCGGCCCGAGTGCTGGCCCTAGCCCTCCACCACATGGCAGACCGCCTCAGGGAGGTGTTCGACGTCAGCTTGGCGTGCGGACGTTTTCCTGAGTGCTGGAAGAGCGGGAAGCTGGTCCTATTGAAGAAGCCTGGACGGCGTGCTGATTCGGTCGCGGCCTACAGGCCCATCGTATTGCTGGACGAGGCGGGTAAATTGTTTGAGAGAATTCTCTCAGCCCGCATTGTGCGGCACCTCTGTTGGGTGGGCCCCGATCTGTCGGACGCCCATTCGGTTTTCGAGCGGGGCGTTCGACGGTCGAGACTGTGTTGCGCCTCAGGACCATGACCGAAGAGGCGGTGAGCCGTGGCGGCGTGCTGTTGGCGGTGTCGTTGGACATCGCCAACGCATTCAACAGTCTGCCATTCAGCTGCATCAGGGAAGCATTCCACTATCATTGAGTGCCAGAGTACCTGAGGCGGCTAGTGGCAGACTATTTAGAGGAGCGTACCGTCATGTACGATTACCAAAATGGTGCTTTGAGGCGTCGGCTCATGTCGTGCGGTGTTCCGCAGGGGTCTGTTCTCGGACCACTCCTGTGGAACATGGGTTACGACTGGGCCCTTCGAGGTCGCCTCCCCCCCCGATGACACGCTTGTTACAGTCCGGGGGGCGGACTTTCAAGAGGCTGCGCGCCTAGCCACCAGGGGAGTCTCTCTGGTGGTCAGGCGCATTGAGGCGCTGGGCTTACGGGTGGCCCTGGATAAGACGGAGGCCCTATTGTTCCATGGGCCCCGTCGTGGTCCACCCCCCGGCGCCTCCATCACGGTCGATTCGGTCCTCGTACCGGTCCAGGCCCAGATGAAGTATCTGGGCCTGATTCTTGACGGACGGTGGCTTTTCGACGAGCACTTCCGGCAGCTTGCTCCAAAGCTGGTCGGCGCTGCTTCTGCCCTAGGGCGACTTTTGCCCAATTTGGGAGGAGCCAGCGTCGCGACAAGACGGCTGTACACGGGGGTTGTCCAGTCAATGGCATTGTACGGTGCACCGGTGTGGGCGGCGGCTCTGACCGCCCAGAATAGGGCACGCCTCTGGCGCCCTCAGAGGATATTGGCGGTTAGAGCCATACGCGGTTACCGCACCGTATCGACCGGTACTCCCCCGTGGGATTTGGAGGCGGAAGTGCTCGCCGAAGTATATCGGCGGACGGCTGAGTTTCGGGCGGATAGTGGCTTTCGGCCCCCGCCCGAAGAGATACGCGAGTGGCGTGAGGCCGCTCGCCGAGCCACGATGGCTCGTTGGTCGTCCCGGCTGGAGGCCCCATGTGCTGGCTTTGCCACCGGAGGCGCTCCAGCCGGTCATCGTCGAGTGGGCAGGGCGGCAGCACGGGACCCTTTCCTTCCGGCTGACGCAGGTCCTCTCCGGGCATGTCTGCTTCGGGAAGTACCTGCACTCGGTCGCTAGGAGGGAATTGAGTCCCGCCTGTCACCACTGTGATTGCAGTGAGGACTCGGCTCAGCACACACTGGCAACTCGCGGCTTGGGCGCCGCAGCGCCGACTTCTCATTACAGTCATCGGAGGAGATCTCTCGCTACCGGCCGTCATACGCTCCATGGCCGGTAGTGACAGATGTTTTACCGCGGTCGCATCCGTCTGCGAAGACGTCATCTTGCGGAAGGAGGCGGCGGAGAGGGCCCGGGAGGACAACCTCTCCTCGGACCCAATTCGTCGTCGCCTCATGCCGCCTTGAGTGTGGCCGCGGGTGGATGGGACGGGTTTTCCCCTCCATCCGCCATAACGGCCAGCCGCGAGGAGGCGACGTACGCATGTGCCGGATGTCGCCTAAATGGAGAATGTACCCGAAGTTGGTGCCCGCGCCATTGCGGGCAGGCGCTAGTAGGGGTCCGCATGTCTTAATAATAGCGGTTCCCGGATCTCTCCTATTATAGGCGCAGAGTGGTTTTAGTCGGTACGATTCCGACACACCACCCCGCCGTAAACCCCGGTAGGGTGACTGCCCGAGGGGGTTCCCACACGTAAATAAAAAAAAAAACAGGGTTAGGTTAGCTCTGCGACCAATAAGGAACGCCAGATCCCCTCTATTGTTGGTGAATCATTTGGGTAAAGTTAAGTTAGAACTGTAAACGAAAGAAAATAGAAAGATATATATTTTTGTTTCGAATTATCATAAAGTCGGACTTTTTGTTTCTATTGAAACTCGGTATTTTGAGCATAGTAATTATAAAAGTTAGTAATATTAAAATTTTTGAATTATAAAAATGGGATCAATGATCAATCGGAGTTGTTATATTAGGAATTTTGAACCATTCGGAATTATGAAAATTGGTATTTTGAAATTCGTATTTGTGACTGAATAAAGTTTCTGTAGTGTACCCGTTTTAATCGCTTGGCGCTAATTGTGGTCACAAATTTTTAATTAAAGTTTGAACTTTGAACACATACTACACACTTACGCCCGAACGTCTTTATTGTTAACCGAGCTTAACACATTTCATTGTACCGTTTAACCGATAATCCCAATTGTAATATTGGTATAAGACATCATATACTGTGAGAAAATAAGGACACAGATTTTTTTAAATGCAATTGTTTGTTAATAGAGTGGATTATTGCGAATTCAAAGTATCACACATGACATAACAGTAAATATGCTATGTAAAAACATGACGGCACGCCTTTATTTTTTTAAATCATTATCAGCTTTTCTGCTTTCTATACCAAAATTGTAGTTAACAAACTGGGCGGAAGTAGATGGTTTAAATATAATGGCAAAAATAAAAATAGTTAAGTTGCAAATTTGTTTAAAAATATGTAAGTATTGTCAGCTATCTAACAACTTCTAATAGTCTAAAATAGTATAACAATTCATAGAAGAAAACTTAGAAGAAAGACCGGGAGTACTAAGAATCAACGTACAACCCGGTAGTACCTAGTTGAAAACTTGGCTTGTATTTTTGGACTCTTTCGTTTTCTATTTGTGACTAACTATTGCTAACTGAACTTTAATACTGTTGGATATGATGACCTATACGAACGAACGATTAGTTAAATTTTCAACCTAAAAGTTTTCGTAATATTCTCGGGGAGAAAAAAGGTCCAATTAAGTCGTTTGACACTATACATCTAGGTACAAATTTAAACTGATGCGTTTTTATGGCCCCTTTTATCCACTTAATTTAAGGATTTATGACTGCTTTTGGCTATAGAAGTGGGCTTTTAGCTAATAATTCACGCTGTGGCAAGCCAGTAACCCTGTATACATATTATGTGTCTACGAAATGTGTGGCTTTTAATGTCCTTTCATGGTAATATGTTACAGATCCACCGTCAATCAAAGACGACGGTATCAAAATGATCAAAGCTTTAAATGGTGATGCAGTAACTTTAGCATGTAGTGTTGATGGCGTACCTACTCCCACAGTGAAGTGGGTAAGAAATGGTATGACACTGCATACCTCGAAGGACATTGTGATAACCAGCGATCACAGTCTCAAGTCAGTATAATTTTATATTACTGTTTAGAACTAGTTATATTTCTCTACCATTAGCGGAGGTACCGTCACTAGGTACTATTTGTGTTAAACCACTAATCATAGACAAAACTTTAAAGTATCCTAAAAGTAAGGAGTGCAGTGCAAAAAAAATATATATATATGTTGTCCCTGACTATTATGTTTCCTTGTCTTAAAAAAAATGAATTATGTTGTAAAAAATAAATGTAACTATAGACAAAAATATGTCAGTCTTACTGGCCTTACTAATCGTTATTTTTAATTCAATTTATTTATTAAGTAGAAGAAGAGAATAAAACTATTTTGTTAAATACAGTATTTAATATATAAATATGTCACAGCATCTAAAAAAGGTAAACAGGTAAATTATGCGTAGGTAATAATGTATGTATGTACGTACGTAGACCTATCATAGTTTGGAAAGGCTATACGAAGACACTTTAACTCATACAGGGACTGAATAGTAATGTCATTACATTACTATTCATTCCCTGTATAAGTTAAATTGTTGTATAAGTACCATTGTACTATATTAATACCACGAAGGACATTTTCTCAACCATTGTAAGTAAGTGTATTTATTGATGTCCATATTATTCCACGGTTATGGAGAAATCAAGATTGGAATCCATTTCGATGGCAGTATTTTTATTCATATATTAATGAGGGACGAGTGTTTGTTAGTCGTGATTCGAGTAATTAAATTTTAAAAAAAGTTCAGTCAGTGTTTGACGTATGTTTTTTTAGTAAGAAACAGACTTGTCAGTAGTCGTTAAAATGCCGAAATTATGTACTTAGTAGCTACTTTTTCTTTGTGATTTTAGAATCAGAACAAAGCTGTCAGACGATGGACTTTACACTTGTGTGGCTGAAAACTATATGGACTCTAGTAGCAAATCTATTATAGTTAATGTATTTGGTAAGTATTGTTGCTCTTTTTATGTGGTCCCATAAAAATCTGTCTGGCAGTAAGTCTGTGGACCGTATTCAAAGAAGAGTGACTTGAATCGTCGATAGCCAAAAGATCTCCGAGCGGCTCCAACCCTTGGCGTTGCGTAGAGATGAAGCTTCACTCTGCATTCTCTATCGTATACATCATGGAGAGTGCTCCGAGGAAGTGTTCGGACTAATACCGGCCGCAACTTTTCGCCATCGTTCCACACGGCAAAATTTTCATCACCACCACTTAGATAATTGGCACTCCACCACCCACCACCACCTTGGTAGTGCGAGGAAAAAAGTGTCTCGAAAAGCGCACCTTTTCGAGTCACTTTTTGCCTCGCACTACCAACCTGTGGAACGGGTTATCGTCTGCGGTTTTTCTGGACGACGATACGACCTTCAAACCTCCAAAAAGAGCGTGCCCTTCCCCAAAGTTTCCATGTAACACGGAGACGAAAATCTGGCAGTGGCCCCGTAACGCAAGAGATGAACATTTACTAGAGTGCCATACAGTTAATGTTCTTGCAGATAGTCACATTCACAATCCGGGCCGGATCGGTAGCTATATAAATAAATAAACTATGCATTATATTTTTCAGAAAAACCGGTAATTGTTAAACCATACGGAGAAACACGTGCTCCAAAAGGAACTGACGTTAAGCTTACGTGTCGGTAAGTTAAAATTTATAAAACAAATTGCACAAATTTTTGAACAAGTATACAATAATCGCGTGAAGCAAGCATTCTTCAATTTTTTTCATAAAAAACGCTTTCTTCAATGCGTCGATTTGCACAGTTGCATGCGAATGAACCCTATTCAAAAAAAGTAAGTGACGAATCGTATTGTTTTCAAAAAACTATAAAAAGATAAATGCTAATAAGTGATCTAAGAGCTTTTTAGTTCCAAAAACACGTCTATCACTCGTCAGCCTGTTACGTCTATTGAGCAAATACATAATATATATGTTTTGTTTTATATTTAAAACCAAGCATTTCCCGGTAGCCCGAGAGAGGGGAGGAAGCGATAACGCAACTAAGAAAATCGAAAGCCATAAAGCCACTTATAAAGTCGATTTTTGAAAATGATTAGTGAGTGGATACACAACTGTTGTAAGGCGATTTAAGTTAAATAATAGTTTTAGGGAGTACAATAATTGAATATATGTATAGTACGGGTATTTGCAAAATTAGTGGCTGAGTTAAAAAATCAATATCAGTAATTGTACTTTAGAAAGTATTTAAATTCGAAATGTTTCCGCAGTATTGTTCGAGGAACGCCGGCGCCAACTATGCAATGGTATTTCCAGCAGCGGAAAGCAAAGAAGTTTAGAGAAATTAAGGATGATACTGAAGCTCTACTCATAAAGAATGTAGGCCTCGACGACGAGGGCACATACAAATGTAACGCCAGCAACATAGTGGGATCTCAAAGTTACACTATGGATTTGGTCGTGGAATGTAAGTAGTACCTAGTAAATCAAACTTGCATAAGTTAATTATTATATTATATTATATTGTATATATATTATATTATATAAGTGTTTTTAAGATGTGTGTGTTATTATACCTAACAGTAAAGTTCTGTCAAAACCTCATTGTTTTTAATTTTCGAATACTAACCAGATATACTTTTACTAACTTTGAACATAGAACTTTCGTGCTTGCCGAAACTAAAAGGATATTAATTTTTATTAATTTTCAAAAATTGAATGGTCTAAGAGTGGTCCTTCAATATTCTACGATATTCTGCACTATCAAGCGACACACTGAAGATTCAAGCTTCGAAGATCGTAAGAGGAGCGGCCGACCTCGCACAGGACACTAGCGGTCATCAAAGCAGTGAAGGCGCGTATTCAACGAAATCCCGTGTAAACAAAAAATTTTAGCTCTTCAGATGGGGCTAAGTGGAACCACGTCCAAAAGAGTGTTAAATGAAATCCTAGGACTACGAGCTTATCGTAAAAAGACCGGATGTTTTTTGAACGAGCGTGTGAAATAAAATACTAGAAAGATACCGCGCTTTGTTACGGCTGTACGCGGGAAAAATAATATCGCGAAATTTTGTTTTCGGAAGAAAACATTTTTACCAGCGCAGAAAGGTTATAATAAACAAAATGCCAAATGATAGGGTATGCCCACAGCAGTGATATAGCCAACGCGCACATTCCGAGAGTCCAGCGAAGGCATTTTCCTTCGTCATTCATGGTTTGGCCTTGAGTTTCATATACAGACTCAACTGAGGTGTTTTATTGTGAAAAATGTGTATAAACCAGTGTCGTGGTGTACTAAAATACCACCTTAACGAACATAGTGGAACCTCTTTCTCAAACAATGTTCAAAAACAGACATTGGAAAATCCAACAGGACTCTGTACCAGCTCCACGAACGCTACACGGCACGAAGCACGTAAAACTGCTGACCGCCCATGGAATTGACTTCATTAGGCATGAAGACTGCCTCACTTGTAGTCCAGATTTAAACTGGTCTGCAAGATATGGCAACATTTGGAGGAGAAAATCTGCGTTTAACATCATCAGAATTTGGAGTCTCTCCGAAAATCTTTGGTTAAAGCGGCGGCAGAAATAGATATGAATGTGTTGCGTGCAGCGATCAATGACTGGCCGCTTCGATTTAGGTCATGTATTCAAATTGGAGAGGGCATTCCGAATAATGTAAATAAAGTTGTATTGTGCATTTAACTACCTTTTATTTCAAATTATCAATAAGTGTATCATAAATTACATTAAGTCTTTGACAGAATTTATGACCTAACTAAGCATATATTGTGTGTACGAAATGTGTGGCTTGTTAAATGTCCTTTCATTTAATATATTATAGATCCACCAACAATTAAAGACGATGGAGTCAAAATGATCAAAGCTTTAAACGGTGATGCAGTAACTTTACCGTGTAGTGTTGATGGCGTACCTACTCCCACAGTGAAGTGGGTAAGAAATGGTATGACACTGCGTACTTCAAAGAACATTGTTACAACCAGCGATCACAGTCTCAAGTCAGTATAACTGTATTACTATTTAGAACTAATTACATTTTTCTACCATAGTGGAGCTACCTCCACTAATATCTATGACTGGCTGACCCGTGCAACTTGGTCAGCATTTTTCATTAATGCTCAGCTCCTATATATTTAGCCATTCTCAGTAAATGGGGTATCTAACACTAAAATATTTTTTCTATCACCATTTTTTACTAGGTTTAATTTTTAGAAAATTTACCAAAAAAAACGAGCAAAGCCAGGTCATCCAAATAGTCTATTATTAAGAGAGCTCACCCACAGACAACTTACTCATAGACTTGACTCTTTTTGACTTTCATCACTGTTACCTACTTTTTTACATCTCTGCTTTTAGCTAATTAACGTAAATTAATGGGTATCTTAAGTTCCTAAACTTAAAATATGTATTATTTGTGATTTCAGGTTTAAAGCGATTAAGGTGTCCGACTCTGGCTACTACACTTGTAAGGCTGAAAACCGTTTTGGTCCTAGTATAAAAACTATTTTGGTCTACGTCTTTGGTAAAATTATTTTGTTTTACAATTCTAACGCTATGTACGTTTTTAATGCTATTGCCGCTTTTAACACCATGGTTTATTTAAATTATAGCCAACGATTTTCTATATAATCAATATTAGAATGTCATTACTTATCAAACGGTGGCAGTGCAGTGGAGTGTGCATATTATGAACAATTATTAACTTAAAAAAAACGGACTTTATTGCATTCTCCATATATGATGATCAATTGTAATTGTGACAACTGCACGGATGGTGTAGTGGTTTAAGCGGTCACTGAGCAAAGTGTTGCGGGTTCGATCACCACAGGGGATAACACTTTGTTCGATCTACAAATTGTTGTTCTGAGCCTGAGTATTATTTCTGTCCGTTCCATGAATGTTTGTGAAGTCCCCTGCGATACAGTGCAATATATTCCTAGTGCGGCAATTTACTTTTAAAGAATTATATAAAACTGTATTCTTCATTCATTAATTTTCACTCTTTGGGGAGGTACTTTTTCCTAACTGCGGAACTAGAAGTGGGTATACGAGTATCTTCCCAAATAAAAAAGAATTTTCCACATCGGTTCATGAATGATAGATCTCAGAGGTAACAAACATAAAAAAACAACCAAATTCAGCACCTGCTTTTCTGAAGTTATTTCAAACAAGGCAAGCGTCCAATTGATTTGTAAACAATTAAGTCATCACAAGGATTTAAGCAGGTGTTGTATATTCACAATTCTATAGCTTATTAAACCATTAAACATGATTATCACTGTGACAACTTAAACACACAGTGAAACAAAGACCTACTGCTTAGCATTCCATGAATTCATCGTGCTAGTGCCGGATCCATCGCGTGATAGATGGGGGCAACACATGCGACTGGGACAGCGCCTGGGACTTGCGTCTCTTAAGTAGGTTTAGGGAGTACTTATCGCGACCCACCTACACTGTCTGCTGTGTTACCCCTCTAACTAACCATATGTGATATAACCATGCCGCTTTGGATATTCGTTTCAGAAAAGAGCTTGCTGAAGTGTTGGCAATCTAAGTTCTTTAAGCCGGTCTTTAGTCCAAGGTTATAGAGGGATTTTGTTAGTTTACCACTCGCACCCACTTCCACAGCATACAACGTAATGAAATAGCCATTTCTAGTTATTTCGTTTGTTAAGTCAAAGTGCCTGGCTGATTTCGTAATGCAGGTCTTACAAGCTTTTTCCGTAGCTTTTACGCACCTTACCACATTGCTCTGATTGGGGAGGATTGAGGAAAGGCGTTGAGGTACAATTTAAAAAAGGCATTTGATCAGTCGTATAAAAGTGTACGCCATTTCAAAGCTGGTGGGATACAAAATTCACCTAGAGTTAACCATTGATTCGGCATTTCTAGGTTCATTGCGTGCACCTCGTAGGTTTCTTTTTTTATCTTGTTAAAGAAAAGATTTGGTTATCTCTTTGTCTGCCTGCTTTAAGCATTTCCCATTCAAAATCTACTGGACAGCGTACCCACCATAATTTTAATGTGAAATTGTTGTAAATCTTTTGTGCTTCTTCTGTTCCGAATGTCTTTGTCATTCATGGTAAATATATTCGAGTCTGCGTACAATGTGGACAGGTCTGCAGCTGCAGTGCTAGCCCGACTTCAATGTCTTAGTGACTTTCGCTTCCATGCTATAACTCCTACTAACGAAGGCACGCCGAACTACTGAGTAACTACTAATCCTGTATTGCGATATGAATCATTCTCACGCCAGGGCATGATCACCTTGCCTGGTCAGAGGATATTCCGTTTGTTTTGGTGTTCGCATTCCTCACACAATAATCATATAATTATTATATTCTATTAACTACTTACTTTATATTATTTCAGAAAAACCAGTAATTGTTAGACCAGTAGAGAAAATACGAGCCGTGGAAGGAGCTTATGTACAACTTATATGTCGGTAAGGCCGAATATATACATATGTATGTATTATGAGACTTAATGTCATAGATATTTGAGAACATTGTCAGAGCCATACCAGCTAAATGCAATTTTACATTTAGTATATTTTTCTTTCGGTTGCATCTGTCTTAATATAGCTGGTATCTAATTTTGTGGAATAATTAAATTTGATGTGTATTATTGTGCAATGTATGTATCGTAATGCTTACAATTTATTTTTCGTATAAGAGTACAAACTAGTTTTTTTAAAACCTACATAATTCAAAATATATTTCATCAGAATTAGTCGTGGAACACCGAAGCCAACTATACAGTGGCACTTCCGGGCACGAAAAGCGAAGAAGTTCAGAGAACTTAAGAAGAATAAAGAAACTTTATCGTTTAAAGATGTAAGAGTCGTCAACGCCGGCACATACATGTGTAATGCCAGCAATATAGTGGGATCACAACATTATACTATGGATTTAACTGTTGAATGTTAGTAGTAACTATCTTAACTATTTATATAATTTTAATATCCTAAGTTAATTATATACTATTTCATGACTTCACTACTCAAACTTAAGTTTTGCATACACGTACAAATTTAAACTAAATTAAGGACAAGAGCTTCAAATAGATTTTATACGTAACAACAAGGTCCATTAGAGGCTCTTTTTCTTACCGTACCCTAGTAATAAATCCTAATTACAGTAAATATAGGGTAATGAGATACAGAGCAGATTTTATTGTACCATATTGACCAATTTTATTCCCAAATCTGTATCTGTATGAATCGAATTTGTGTAGACCAACGAGTTCTTACCTATAATGAAACAGCAGAACCCGGCGGTCTGTACATTGAAAAAGAAAGGTAGTAACGAAACACATTTTTAAAATGATGTCTATCTGCACACCTTCTTAACTACCAAACGGATTTTCAAGTACTTTTCACAAGACTACAAACTATAATTTTAAACAAAATAAAGGCTTTATCTGTAGACATTTTTGTACCCCTGTTTTAAACAGATATATTGAACAAAAGCATAATACGAGTATATTTCAAACACTTAATGTTTATATGTAAAAGATGTGCAGAAAGCTAAAATTTTTGGACAATGTCTGCTGTACAGTAAAAATATTTGTAAAAACCACTACGTCTATACCTCATCTATATCTATAAGGTATATATATATATATATATAATCTATAACGGCTCGGTACCTGTATATTTTGATCTGGTATGAATTATGATACAAGTCTATACAATGACTGTACTTGATCAGTTTAAAACAGTGCAGTCAAAATTCGACTGCCAGGCAATCCCTAGATTCATTAAAACTGCAGTCATTATTTAAGATCTTTCACACTAATATTAAATGTATGCTGTACAAGTATAACGCCCGTATAGGTATTCTTTTAAAGGTTATCATAAAACATAATAACCTTTAAAAGAGACATTGACTGCACGGATGGCGTAGTGGTTTAAGCGGTAACCTCGCCGCTTCCTACTGCGCTGAGTGTAGTTGTTTCGATCCTCACGTGGAACAACACTTTGTGTGATCTACAAATTGTTTTTCTGAGTCTAGGTGTTCTTTCTATCCGTTTCATGTATGTTTGTAAAGTCCCTCGCGGCCCATGACATATTCCTAGTGCGGGAGTTGTCTTTTTAAAGATAAAATATAAAGACAGATGACTTTTGATTTATTATTCGTGTCAAATGTAGTAGTGTACATAATTAATTGGAAAATGGCTATATTAATATATATATATATATATATATATATGTAAATCAATTATTGAGGGTAATTAATTACTGGTACATTATAGATCCACCAACAGTCAAAGACGACGGAATCAAAAGAATCAACGCCAAAGACGGTGAAGATGTAACTTTACCTTGCAATGTCGACGGTGTACCCACTCCTACAGTAAAGTGGCTCAACGGTTATACAACACTACGCAGATCGAAGAAATTTTTAACAACTTCTGATAACAGTCTTAAGTTAGTATATAGTCTTCGGATCAGTTTGTTCTAAAGTGACTAAACACAACATGATTCCTCAGTGATTACATTCGTACTCAACTTAAATATTAGGTCCTTACATATGAAATTAGCGTTTTGTCGTACTGACCACTTTGATCTTAAATATCTCCTCTTCGGTTAAGAATTCTAAATTCAAATTATAAATTCATTTAGCTGGTACATTTGAGTTTTGAAAACAGTTGAAAATAGTTTTCATTTGTTTTTTCTTCATTTTTTTTCTTTGGCATCGCTTATTACCGTACAATGGAAAACATGAAATATCGGTATATTTACGAGTACGAGTTCTACCGTGGCACCAGTGCTGCAGAAACAGCTCGAAGGATTAATGATGTGTACGGCGAAGGTGTCACAAAAGAAAGCACGGTACGTTTTTGGTATCAACGTTTTCGTTCTGGAAATTTCAACCTTCAGAACCAACCCCGTGTACGGCCAGAGACCAAAGTGGAAAATGAAGAATTAAAGTGTGGAAGCGGATCCATCACAAAGCACTTCAGAGATAGCTGCAGGCTTCGGGGTAAGTGATAAAACTGTTTTAATCTACTTGAAGCAAATCGGGAAAGTAAAAAAACTTGAACGACTTACCTCATGAATTGAGTGAATCGAACTTACAAGCACGGGTCGACTACTGTGTTACTTTGCTCAACCGACACAATAATGAAGGGATTTTAAATCGAATCATTACTTGTGATGAAAAGTGGATACAGTACGATAATCGGAAGCGCTCGTCGCAATGGCTTAACCCTGGAGACCCACCCAAATCCTGCCCTAAACGAAAATTGACTCAGAAAAAGTTACTTATGAGTGTTTGGTGGACTAGCGCCGGTGTCGTTCACTACAGCTTTCTAAAATCTGGCCAAACGATTACGGCAGATATCTATTGTCAGAAACTGCAAACCATGAAGGAAGAACTAGCTGCTAAACAACCGAAATTGGTCAATCGCTCTAGGTCCTTCAGCTGCTTCACGACGACGCAAGACCACACACTGCACAACAAACAACCACTAAGTTAGATGAGCTACAATTGGAATGTCTGCGACATCCACTGTACTCCCCGGACCTTGCTCCAACAGATTACCATTTTTCCGGAATTTGAACAAATTCTTAAAAGGAAAAAAAAACAACTTCGATGCGGCAGTCCAAACCGCCTTCAAAGAGTTTATTGATTCTCGCCCCCATGGTTTTTTTAGTAAAGGGATCAATGAACTACCTATGAGATGGCAAAAGTGCATAGATAACAACGGTGCATACTTTGATTAATTTAATACATTTTACTAAAAAATAATTGACTTTATATTCCACCCGTACAAAACGCCAATTTCATATGTAAGGACCTAATATATAGAAACAAACGCATCAGTTCAAATAAATGTGGACATAATTATATTTCAATAGTGTGAACGATACGTCCACACTATTGAAACTGCACTTACTGTGGGCACTAGTTTTAGCGGCACCTGCCATTAGTGAAGCAACAAAAGTACATGGTACAAAATACGAATATATATTCGTAGAGAGAATATTTAACAAACCAGTATTCTGAGGTATATTCATTAAACGTCTTAATCGGTATCAACTTAAACAAATCAATCTGGAGTGTTTCTAATTTCTATCATTTTTTTAATGAAAATAACTTTTATTAAAGTCTGTGTTGTGTGATTAGACAAATTTAGCACACAACCTTTCAAATTTCTTTACAAGGACTAAATATTGCATATATAAATCAACCATTACAATTTTGAACAAATCAACCTGTTTCATACTTGTTTTAATTGTGATTTCAGAATTACAAGAATACATGTGCCCGAGACTGGATATTACACTTGTCAGGCCAAAAATCATCTAGGCACTAGTAAAAAAACAGTTTTTGTATTTGTGTTTGGTAAGTGATTTTTCACTATAATGATACACAAACTCGTACCTCATCTAAAGTTCTCTCTTAACGAATTTACAAACTATCACAATAACACAGATGTCTTTCACCATCGTTTTATAAGAGAAATTAGACACGACATACATGTAGATAAATGATCTTGTTTAAAATAGCATGCCAAACATATCTTCCAGATTTTTAGTCCTATATTTGTTACAAAGTCGTGGCGTTAAATAGCCAATCACATCGTGTGCTTTCGACAGCTCCCGCTGTAGTGGATAAATGTAGTAAGGTGTATGTGATGAAAAGGACAGCAAGTAATTTTAGTTAGAGTTGAGAGCAACGTTATCCTATAACCAGATGAAGTTTCTAATTCTTGTTTTTTCGCAGTTCCACCTAGTATAGAAAAACCCAAAGCTAGCACAATCAATCTAATGGTTGGCAGGGACTTGATTTTATCGTGCCACGCCGATGGATATCCGGAGCCACAAATTAAATGGCTTTTTAAGGAATTTGATACAAGAGCAACACCTAGGAATTTACGGTAAGCCTGTAGATTGTAGAGAAATACAGGATCATTGGTATATCAATATATAAATATCAATAGTAGTTTATAAAATCAGTACATTATACATTACAATTTACATTCACACATGATTTTTTGATATTTACGTTTTTAACCACTTACATACCTGTACTACAAAAAAAAATAGTAACAAAATTTGGTAGTTTCTGGAAAAAAAATGTAAAAAATGTAACGTTTATATATATGTTTATATGTTTATATATATTGGTAAATTATTGTAAGTTTAATATACCTGACTACTGAGAATGTTGTGCAAAATAGTAAATACATTCAAGGATAGGTAATCCGTACCCTGTAAACGTAATATTCACAAGAAAAATACAGAAAAAGATCAATTTCAAATATCCATCTATATTTTATTACCAGTTGTTTAACATTAATTTTCGATATCTCACTGAAATATTTATCTATTCAAAAATCATTCATTTCAACTTAAACGGTATTAATATGTGTAGTTTGTCAATTATAGATCGAACGATAAAACCAAGGGGTTTAGTCTACCACGTGTTCAACTAAGAGATCAAGGAAATTACACATGTGAAGCGAGTAACATTGGTGGAACGACGAATATTACTTACATAGTTAATGTTTATGGTGGGGTATCTTTTCTGATTCATTTATTGTAATTCTTTTATACTCATTTTTTTTGTAATTTTGGATGATATGATGAGTTCGATAAGATTACTTTTTTGGTTACACTTTAAGAATTCCAAGGACACATCACTTTTAATCAGTCACATAAATTTTTATTATTTCCAGCTCCGCCTATAATACAGAACCCGTATGCAGTCAAGATATTTACATGTGTAAAGGGGGACTTGGGATTAAGAATCCAGTGCAAAGCAGAGGGCTACCCAAAACCTTCAATCGTTTGGAAAAAAGATAACTTAAACATAGTTTCTGGTAATAAGACTATACATTAATCCGACCTATTTGTCATAGTTATACTAATTTTCTAATAACCGTAAAGAAGAAAAAGAGTTGATTACTTATATTAGCACTAGATGGTTTATTGTTATTAAAGCTTTAAATTACTTTTCACGTCTACCCATACTCATAAGTTACTAAATGTGCTAAACAATACACAGATTCTAAATGGTATGACATTGAGGAAGGGGCTCTGATAATAAAAAATATTGAGAAAAGACAACAAGGGACTTATACTTGTTTAGCTACAAATATAATGGGATATGATAGCAGTGTGTATACTGTGATTGTCAATGGTAATTATATTGTTTTTATATTGTTATTATATTCAATGATTTTAACAAAAAGATTAATAACACATGTTATTTCCTTTTCAGACTACCCAATTGTACCTAAGATTGAATCCCCAATGCTTATTCGCCCAGGTTCTTCTTTAGATGTTCCTTGCAACATAAAACACAAAAGTACTGACTCTATGCGTTGGTACAAGGTAGGTGCTTAGTTTACATTTTTTTATAATTTAATATCGTTAGATTACTACTGCCACATATCGCTATAACTGATTGTCGCATAGGTATACATTTCATTTACGGTAATGTCAATCTTTTTTGACCGATTTCAAAAACAGAAAAAAAGGAGGTTATCAATTCGGCTGTATTTTTTTTTGTGGATTGATTCTCCGTCAATTGTAAACCGATTTACAATATTCTTTTTGTAATCGAAAGTGTATACTCCCGAGGTGGTCATATTTTCACGAAATAAGGATCTGATGATAGGATCCTAGAGAAATCGGGGGAATTCCTCAAATTTTACAGCTCCGACAATATGTTTTAGCTTATTTCTCTATTTTGGTGTTTGTGTTGGGTTACAGAGATATTTGCACAAGAGAATAATAAATGAGATTACAAAACATTTAGATAAAAAAATGTTTGTTACACAATTATTTTCATGTTAGTTACCTCAAAACGCTTTCATTTGTCAACCGATTTGAAACTTTTTTGTGTACAGTATGTAGTGTTTCAAATATCGTACTTATCTACTCATTGGAAACAAATCTTACACTAAAATTAGTAAAAAATCCTTCTAAAAAAAATTGAACTGACTTCATACTGATACTAACAAAGAGAACTAACCGATGTTTCATTAGAATTATAAGTATGGCATTCTTAATTGTACTGTTATAAAGATGACATAGACCATTATTATTTATTGTGCATCGGGCTTGGCACCGACTTCAAACAGACTAAGAAGGTATCTATTGCTTTCATAATGTTATCTGTTATATTGAGGGTGGCACTTATTTTAGTTTTTACTTAGATTTGTAATTCTTTTTTAATTTTTAGGTCTCTTTGTTAGTACTGTATGAAGTCGGTTCAATTTTTTTTCAAAAGATATTCGAGTTTCAGTTATACTTCCATCTTGTTGCTAGATAATAATGTTGTGTCCGTATAGCGACGGATTAAGAATACGGAGTGTCACCACCCCTATTCATCCCATCAGCCACACGATGCGTTGACGTACGGTACAGTACGGCGCCGGTGCGGTGCCGTTAGGTCATCCTAAATTATACCATACCATGCCATGTCACACGACACGACGGGCACTGGCGCGGCGTCGCATCGCAAGCACACCGGGCTTGGCAATGCACTGCAGCGCGGGAGTGACGACCTGCCGTCATCGAAGCAGCCGTGCCCGAAAAGGACCTGCGTCAGTCCGAAGGAAAGTGTCCCGTGCTGGCGCTCTGCCCATTCGATGATGACCGGCTGGAGCGCCTCCACAGTGGCAGAACCAGCACTTGGATCCCCCAGTCGGGACGACCAACGAGCAGATGGTTTTATCAGGCGGTAAAAGCTCATAGTTAATAATGCCTTTCCAATTCTACAATGCACACGTATCACCTTATTGTGTGTGTAATCCGGGTTTGCTACAGTCTGTGGACCTTATCTACATTTTGACCATGATCTTTTTCGCACTTTCTTGTTTCACCAACAATCTTTAAAATGGATAGGTTGGTTTCATTACGTTTCAATAGAGCATTGCAAATGGGTACCTACACTAATTTTTAGGTTTCTTTCAGTGAGCTCGCGTGACACCCAAATATCGAGCTATTTTGTACAGCCAGACTTTTTCAAATGAATCAAAACTGTTTTGTGGTCAATGCTCAGTTTCCTAAAGGATAGCTCCTAAGAAAGGATACAAAGGATACAAAGTGTTTAACTCAAGAGATTTTCCTTCAATTTTATAGTCTAGTTTATATAAAATATGAAGACTTTTTCCCCGAATGATAATTTTTTTTAGGAATGTTCGTTGCTCATTCATATTTAGAAAAGTAGCACTGAGAAGGCGAAGACACAATTATGACTCCACATTAGTCGCATACGACTAGTTCATGTAGGTACATCTATCTGCCAAATCGGGACATGTCTCGGTGTAGCGGAATGTATGCCAGCTCTACACTGGCTATACAGTGGCACATTGCGGTTGCAAAAAAAGTAGATAAAACCCATCTATAAAGGTTGCTATTTATCGGGTCAAAATTCAAGCTCAATCGGTGCAGAACTTTTTCGAGTTTTTGAAGGGTACACAAATCAACCTCAAATTTTTAAATTTATAAATCATATTTAAACATGGGTCGATACCTATGGTTATTTGGTATATTCGACAAACAGTTAATTTGTATTTGTTTATATATTTCAATGCCAAATATATTCAGATAGATCGAATCAGTTTTAAAACTGACAAAGAGCTCAAATTGTTTTGTGAAGAAAGTCGTTTCTTTGGTATCAGTGTTTGGTTATACAATAAAATCACTACTCATGATATGCATTAATGTAGCTTTTAATTTTTTTTTAGGATTCAAGACTTATAGCGTATGGAAAACTTACTCTCAAACACATTTCATATCTAGATAGCGGCATTTACTCATGTCGTGTCGGCGATATGTGGGAATCAAGTTCGGCACATGTAGAAATAAAAATAGGATTTAAACCTTCTTTTTATAAAAAGGAGACGGAGACAATACAATTTGAAAAAGGAAAATTTTATCCCTTGAGTTGCTTAGCAAGAGGGCAACCAGAACCGAAGGTATCTTTTTGGCTTTTAAAATTCATATAAAGTTCTCAATGAACAATACATGTTTACTGTATTTGTAACGGTAGGATTAATTAATTTTTATTACTACGAGTACTGTTTTAAACAACGGCGACGAGTTCGCATCAATGAAAAGAGAGCCTGTATGTAAGTTTTACTTAAGTGTAACTTTAATATTTTACTAATTTACATTACTTTAGTTTATCCTATCATAATGTAATAAATTATAATGTCAAACCGACATATTGCTTTCAAATTTGTTAAGCTGCCTTTAATTTCCTTTTAAAACACGTATGAACTAGACACATTTTTGTAGGTACATACATTATTCTGCATTCTTTAGAGTGACCAATATTATTTTTGTGATATAATAAGAATAATAATCTGTCTAGTCCCATCTAAACTTTAAAGTAATATCTAGACTCATGTTTAGAATAATAAAAATACATGTGTGTGTAATATAATAACAAAAATACATGTTAGTATTATTAATAATTCTAAATAAAACTTTACCTCCACCATATTATAATTGCCGAAACGTGGACACTTACGGTACGGCTGGTCCACAAGTTCAAAGTCGCTCAACGTGCTATGGAAGGGCTATGCTCGGCGTTTCTCTAAGAGATCGCATCAGGAATGAGATGATCCGTCAGAGAACCAAGGTCACCGACATAGTCTACCGGATCAGCGAGCTGAAGTTGTTGTTGAGAACAACTGTTGGGGAAAACGAGTTCTTGAGTGGAGATTGCGTCTCGGCAAACGTAGTGTAGGAGGCCAGGGCGAGTGATGATTTGCGCAAGATGGCTGGCAGGAGCTGGATGCGAGAAGCCCAAAATCGATCTAAGTGTCGTGCAATGGGAGAGGCCTATGTCCAGCAGTGGACTGCGATAGGCTGATGATGATGACATTATATTTTGTATATTTTCCATGACTATCGTTTGCTCCTTTTCATTTTGTATTTATTTATTGACATGATTTTTTTGACAGGTAACTTGGAAGCACAATGGAAAAACATTGAGTGTATCTAGTATGATTTACACTATAGAAATGACTCTAAGCAATAGAGGAAACTTTACTTGTGAAATCAGCAACAGCCTTGGAACCATCAAACGCTCATTTCGAATTATATCTCAAGGTATAAAACTATTTTTTTATATTAAAAGTATTATCATACTTTTGTAGTTACTAAGTTAGAAAATAAATGTAAATACTTATTTTGATTTACTGATGGGAGCTAAAACACTAGAGAACAAAGTTATTACATGCTTAAGTCGGTGCGAAAACTAGTGTAAGTTACTGCTTTCTTTTAATATGACCCACCAAATAATATAAACAAACTATAGTCCATCTAATCTAAGAGGTACCGTTTGACGTTTCATAGTTTTCCAGCAGAAACAACTTTGTATTGGCGTAACTCATATAACTAAAATATTTTTACTGTAAAACCATGGAATTATGAAGCTATTTCCATTTTGTAACATGATACACAATTTTTATTTACAACAACAACACGTGTTGTGACTGTTCAAATTCACTTGTATACGAATAATCGTTAAAATGTAAGCACAATCGAATAGACATATTTTAGCATTTACAGTCTGCGCCAATTAAGTTAGCTTTAAATCGAATGTTGAACAGGTACTATCGCAAACAAACGTACTGAGTATAAACATATATTTTGTTTATTTTTTGCGTGAATTATTAATTATTTCTTTCATATCATAGTTTGAGCCCCTGTTCGCTTCAGGACAGATTCAGAAAGATGTACAGTCGTAATATCGTGTTAAATTTTTCTCCACATAGTGTTCCTTAATATGTCAAAACATTCAGATAACAAAAAATTGTTGCAAGCAAAGGTATTTCTCTAAAAACGTGTCTTTTGGCGTCAATAAGTGACGCGGATTACGAATATTAAAAAAAAATAGATATTAAGGATGTTTATAAAGTTTAAAATTGCTTGCACCTATGTTTTATCATTTATATGTGATGAGTATTAAAAAAATAGCTGCAAGCAATTTTAAACCTAAAGATTATCCTTAATTCCTAATTCCTTTTTTATATTCGTGGTCAGCGTTATTTGTTGATGTCAAAAAACATGTTTTAAGAGATATTTCATATAGCTTGCAACAGTATTTTGTTAAATGTATGCGTTGACTACCATAAATTTAGATGCAAGGTGTTTTTCGACCTATTTTGTCCGTTAATATAATATTGTTAACGATTATATGTTCCTGAAACTAGACCTTGTGTGTTGTTTATTTGTCTTTAATTGTCTGTAATTACTTTTATAGATGATCATTTGTTGTTTGTTTTTGATTTGTGTAAAGACCATTTTTCTACATTATTAATATTTATTTTATTTAGATTTATTAGTAAAACCTAACAGTAAGACCTAGAAATAAAAGTAACCTAAAAATATAACAGGGTTTATACAGTAAGATATTTAAATCTAAAACTGTAATTGATTTGTAAATACAAAAAAATTATATTGATATCTCTGAAGAATCGGATATTGTAGCAATCGATTTCTTTGACCCCTTCCTTATTATTCAATCTGTCAGAACTGCAAAACGGTACCTCTTAGATTAGATGGACTGTGTCCTAAATTCGGATGTCCTTCAGATGGCTTATGGCTTGTCAACTCATTTAAATGGATATTTGGAAAGAGAGTGCTTAACAAATATATCTTATTCGAGCTTTTTTTCCCAAACTAGTTTGCGGTGGCTTTAAGTCTACTGTGACACGGCTGAACTAGAACTCCACAACCTAAGTACTAGGCGATATCGAAGTTCTGTAGGAAGACCGTTGTTGAACTTTTTAGGCCTCCCGTAACGATTGTCACAGATGTTCGTATGGCAACCGGGACCGACGGCTTAACGTGCTCTCCGAGGCACGGCCGCGTCTCCATATGTTAAGAACGGTCACCCATCAATAGACTGACCTGGCTAGGATTACTTAACTTTGCAATGTGTTAACCTACTCAGTTACCACTTAGTCACGAGCCCTCTACGAACAAATATATTTAACAAAAAGTAAATAAGCAAGTGATTTATGTTTAGGTATGTCTTACTGGTATTTTGTTACAGACTGCATACTCGAAATAAAAAAAGACTTTCTACGTAAGAACCAACCTATGATGCTAACTCCACATATGGAGTGGCCATTATTCCCCATCGAAGACGGTTTTATGCTTATAGAGACCGGTGAACCCTTCTATTTATACTGCCCGGCAAATTTTGTTATATTACGTATGAATTTTATAAGGGTTTTTTGCGCTGGAGAAACACAAATAAAAATCAACGGAAAAATATACGAATTCTCAGAAATTGAATGCACAGAAGAAATAAAGCCAGATCTTATCAAAAGAACAAACCCTTGCTTATTTGGTAATGGGGTGAATGTGGAAGTAGGATATAAAATTTTTAGTAAGTTTCTTAATGTTTACACTGTCTGTTTAGACACAAAAAAAAATGTGCCTCTTTATACGCAACACACATTAACTCCAGATCAGTACAATGTATCTACAAATAAAAATGTCTGGTGGCCTACCTACTTTTCACCTTATAACTTCGATACGATATATAACTGCGAAACTCAAACTTATGTTATATCCTCGATACTGAAAAGACCTTTTCATTATAATGACAAATGTTGCTTTGGTAAAAGACAACTAGTAAGTCCTATGGACTTTCTGCCTGGTATACCTGCAAGTACAGCCTACACGTATTTGAACGTTGTACCGCACTGGAGTACGTGTAATTCAAAAGTAAGTAATTTATGAGTAATAATAAATGCATTCTTTAAAACTAATATGTGGTTTATTCTTAGTCCACACGGACTTAAAAATAAGGAATGTCACCACCCCTATTCATCCCGTGGGTGTCTTAAGAGCCGACTAAGGGAGCAGACTACGCAGGACAACAGCACCGCAAAGAGAAGGAAAACTTGAAACAAACCCTATATCAACTCGTCTGGCCAGCGTGGTAGAGTAGGCCAAAACCTCCTTTCTAAGGAGAGGCCTATGTCCAGCAGTGGACTGTTATAGACTGTTGATGATGATGTGGTTTAGAAATTATTCGGTGGTATTCATTGAATACCACTCTGAAGCTGTAACAGACGAGAAGGGAAAACTCCGTGAGGATACCTGTATAGGTTACCATGATTTTCTTAAGGCATATGAATTGTACGAGTAGCCCTAACTAGGAGAGGGTGACGGACTTTGGAATAACACATGATTTAGTGTCATGGGTTATTTAAAATCCGTCCCAGGAGGTTTCCCATGCCCATCTGATGGATAGTAATTGTATTTAAAATCCATTTAATAATAATCTTGACGACTGGATGGCGTAGTGGTTTGTGTAACGGACTGCTATTCCAAAGGTCGCGGGTTCGATTCCCGCTCAAGTCAAACATTTGTGTGCATGAACATTTGATGTTTGATTTGGTCTGGGTGTCTCTATGTATAATATGTATGTATTTACAAAAAAAAAAAAAAGTATATATGTATTTATATCAGTTGTCTAGTTCCCATAGTACAAGCTTTGCTTAGTTTGGGACTAGATGGCGTTGTGTGTATGTGGTAGAATATTATTATTATTATTATTATCTTGTTACTATGTAAACTATGTGTATTTTATGTATTTGTTATTAAACTATGCGTATTTTTTAGAATTGGGCTGAACTTGAGCAAAAAGTAAGGAGCTTAGCTAAATTATTAAATACAAATTTAACAGTATTAACAGGAACAGTGGAACCCCTTCAAATGAAAAAAGGTAGAGTTTATAGGAAGATCGCAATCTATGACGATCAAGGTAAAAAGCTAAGCGTCGCGCAGTACTTGTGGAAGGTAATGCATATTGCAGTTGCTTTGCTGACTTGACACTTGATCTTGATGAAGATATAAACTTTGTAATATTTTTAGGTGGTCCAAGATCCAGAGTCGGCAAGTTCTCTTGCTATAATACAAGTCAATGCTCCTGATTTATCGCCAAAAGATATTCCTATATTCACACGCTGTAAAGACATTTGTGAAGAGATTGAGTGGATGAAGGGCACCAATTGGCGGAATGTGGCAGATGGTTATACGTATTGCTGTTCAATACTCGAATTCGAGACAACTTTTAATTATAGGGGAGAGTTCAGTCGTGGTAAAACAGGTGTTTTAAATATGCGGTCAGATACACCAGCTTACCCAGATTACTCAGATTACTATTAGATATAAACTAGAAGTAAATTATTTAATAAAATATTCTTACACGTCGATCAATAAACTATGAAAAAATATACGAATAAAGAAAAGTAACAGTTTACCTAGTTTTATTTTGTATCCGTGTGGTGACGGATTAAGAATACGGAATGTCACCACCCCTATTCATCCCGTGGGTGTCGTAAGAACCGACTAAGGAAGCAAACTACGCAGGACAACAGCACTGCAGAGAGAAGGAAAACTTGAAAGAAACCCTATACCAACCTAAAGACTGTTGATGATGATGATGATTTTGCTTCATATGTAGGTAAGTGTGATGACGGATCAAGAATACACAGTGTCACCACCCCTATTTATCTCGTGGGTGTTGTAAGAGGCGACTAAGGAAGCAAACTACGCAGGACAACAGCACTGCAGTTTTTTTTTTTTTTTACGTGTGGAAGCCCCCTCAGGCCGTCAGCCTACCGGAGTTTGTGGCGGGGTGGTGTGTCGGAATCGGACCGACTAAAACCACACGGTGTGCCACTCTGCGCATGTAATAGGATGTATCCGGGAACTGCTGTAATTAAGACATCCGGACCCCTCCAAGCACCTACCCGAAACGGCACCATCTTCGGGTACATTCTCCATTTAGGCGACGTCTAGCACACGCGGACATCGCCTCCTCGCGATTGGCCGTTGTGGCGGGTAGAGGGGAAAACCCGTCCCGTCCACACTCAGGGCGGCATGAGGCAGTGGTAGGCGCGCCTCCGCCGCTCGGTTCGACGGCGACGGATTGGGTCTGAGTGGAGGTTGTCCTCCCGAGCCCTCTCCGCCGCCTCCTTCTGCGAAGGTTAGTCTGTGTATTGATACAGAATAATCGAACTAAAAAAGATTTATCGATCACGTAAGTCTAACAATTTACCATAATTTAACACCACCATTTAACACCATTTTTATACCAAAAACGTTAGTGGTTAAAAGTAACGCCACGTTTAATGAATGGGATTACTTATGATATTATTTTATTTCAACTTTCACTACAACATAAATGTGCAACAGGTTATGGGCCCAGGCACATGGCGACTGATTGAACGCATATACAATATTGTAAGTAATTCAGGGGAGAAATAACAGACATGGAGAGTCAGGTAACACAGTTAATAAAATTGAACGGCACGAATTGGCCGGTATGGAAATTTCATATGACTATTATTCTAAGATCGAAAAACTTGTTAGACATGGTAACAGGTACAAAGCCAGACGGATCAGAGGGTAAAGCATGGGAAGAAAAGGATTTAATCGCACAGGAAGTAATTGTGAGCCGAATCGATGAGAGCGTCATGATTCATTTGCTGTCATGTTCAACTAGTGCAGGTATGTGGGAAAAATTAGTCACAATATTTGAACCAAAATCGAAAGTTAGCGTCCACTTAACACTTCAAAGGTTTTACAATCTCCCATTCGAAGAACCTGTTATAGTATTTATCTCCAGACTAGATGAACTAACGCACAACATAAAGAGTATGGGTGAGGAAATATCAGAGTCGATGATAATCAGCAAAATATTAATGTCATTACCACCTAGATATAAACATTTTTATATCAGCATGGGAATCAGTTCAGCAACCAACGCTTACAGAATTGACATCAAGATTAATGATTGAAGAAGAAAGAAGTAAGAGTGAGTATGGGGAGAAATCAATAGCTTTTATTGGTGCAAGAAGACAACCTAGTGAGAGATTAAGAAAGGCAGGAGCACAAAGATGGATTGGAGCTGGAGGACGACCCGGTCACCAATCTGCTTCTACTTCATTTATGAAGAAAAATGATTTTAAGTGTCATTTTTGTGGGAAACATGGACATTATATTAAGGAGTGTAGGTTTAAGACAATGCAAGTACAAAATAATTCTAAATACAAAAATAATAAGTCAAATGCATTTGCATGAGTAAAGTTGAAGGTAAGACACCATATGAGTTATTATATAGGAAAGAATTTGATATCAACGTGCTTCAGGTTTTTGGGACAGAAGTATATGTACATATTCCAAAAGAAAGAAGGTTAAAATGGGATGCGAAGAGTAGAAAAGGAGTATTTGTGGGATTTGGACAGAATACAAAAGGATTCAGAGTTTGGTTTCATAACACAAATATAGTGGACACATTTAGAGATGTCGTGTTTACAAAACCATCAGATAAGGAAGTTATAAGTGTGAGTGAAGAAAGAAATGATATCTTGAAATATGATGAGAATTTTATGGAAGGCAAAGGTAAAAATGATAACATGGAGAGAGAAAATACTCAAGATAGTTTTCAAGAGGAGAGAGAGAATACTCAAGATGACTTTCAAGAGGAGAAAGAAAATACTCAGAAGAGAGAAAATGATGATATAGGAAGGGAAAATCAACCGACAAATAATGAAATTGAAGAGGAAGAATATGAAACAGGTAAGGAAAGTAGTGAAGACAGTGACAAAGAGAAGGAGAACATGAAAGAAGATACAAAGAAGAAAACAGAAAGCCAAATTGTAAAAACAAACAAGAAGGATATGACAGAAGGAGACCAAGGAAAGAGGAAAATAAGAAAACCTAGATGGTTTGAAGACTATTACACGAGTTTTACAGTTCTAAATGAAAACAAATTGGCATTTATAGATGCAATAAAAGGTGAAGAATCTGATGAATGGAAGAGAGCTATAGAAGAAGAATTTGAAGCTTTGAGAAGAAATCATACATAGACAGAAGTTGATTTGCCACCCAATAAGACACCTATTGAGACAAAGTGGGTTTTGAGAAGGAAACAGGGTCAAGAAGACTATATATACAAAGCAAGACTTTTAGTGAGAGGCTTTAAACAAAAGGAAAAATTTGATCATTCAGAAATCTATTCACCCGTAGCTAAACTACCAACATTAAGAATACTTCTGGCTATCGCAAATAGGTATAAATTATTCATAGAACAAATGGATGTAAAGAGTGCCTTTCTAAATGGAAATATCGAAGAAGAAGTCTTTTACTGAAGCCTGAAGGAATGGAGAAGAATAATAAAGTTAAACCGATTAAACCGATCATTATATGGACTTAAGAAATCACCAAGAAATGGAATCAAAAATTCAATGAATTTATGTTAAAGGAAGGGTTTAAAAATACCAAGTCCGATTACTGCTTGTACTATAAAAATGGAAGAAAGTTTTATGTTTTAGTATATGTTGATCATTTGATTCTCGTAGGAGAAGATAAGGAAGAAATAGACAAATTAAAGAAATCGTTAAAAGAAGCTTTTGAAATGAAAGATATGGAGAAAATATAAAAATATTTCGGACTAAACATCAACCAAACTGAAGACAGGATTGAGATAGATCAAATTATTTAGAAGATATATTAAAGAAGTATAATATGGATGTAAACCAGTTTCGACTCCCATTGAGCCTATATACAGATTGATAACAAGGAATCAGGGGATAAGAGTTTGATAATGAGATGTAGAAGTCTAATAGGTAGTTTAATGTACGCCATGTTAGGATCAAGACCTGATATTTGTTTTGCTATAAGTTATTGAGCTAGGTATCAATCAAAAATGCAAATAAGAGTGTATGGAAGGCACTAAAGAGAGTGCTTAGATATATAAAGGGAAGCTTAGAGTTAAAACTTATTTATAAATATTTAAATGATGAAGTTTTATTAGGTTACACAGATGCTGATTGGGGTGGGGATACCAGTGATAGGAAATCTACTTCAGGGTACATAATGAAAGTTTATGGATGTTCAGTGTCATGATGTTCCTCCAAACAGCAATGTGTGTCTATGTCAACGACTGGGGCGGATTATGTTGCTCTTGGTAAGGGAGTGTCAAAAGGATGTTGGATTAGAAACTTATTGCATGAATTAGATTTAAAATGTGAGAAAATTGTAATTCTAGAGGATAATCAGTCGGCAATATATATATTTAAGAACCCAGAGCAACATAAGCGCCTTAAGCATATTGATCTTAAATATCATTTTGTTAGAGATAAGGTTGAAGAGGGTATTATAGAAATTAAATATATATCTTCACAGGATCAAGTAGCAGATATTTGTACTAAGCCATTGAATAAGCTTTTATTTGAGAAGAACTGTAAAATGTTAAAATTAGATTAGATATCTAAGTGTTAAGCTGTGGTATTTGTTATTGTAAGCATTATTTTGTTTTTGAATTGTAAATTTCAGTGACGATTATTTGTTTATTTTATTGAGGAAGGGTGTTGAGAAAACAATAAAATAAGAGTTGTATTTATGGCAACCCTGAGCTAGTTTCATAAGTTGTCAGTCCGGTTTAACTTTTTTTTAGAGAGAACGTGTCCATGTGTAAAGAGAAAAATTGTATTGTGCCATCAAAGTAAAATTACTGTAATAAAACATTTCTGTGTGAGAAAGAAGAATTAAACAAACACTGATTACTTATGATATTATTTTATTTCAACTTTCACTACAACATAAATGTGCTAATCCAAAAATTCAATCTGTGAACCCTAGACCACAATTGGGATTTTTTCCACGTTTGTCATTCGTTTTGTTTTTGAGGCATTCATTGACAGACCTACGTTTTCACTTTCTGGTACAAGTTGTTCGAGTATTTGCTGCAGATTTCTCGCGTCACCTGAAATAAGTATCAGATCGTCTGCTAATCTTTGATGGTTTAGTTTTACTCCGTTGATGTTACATCAATAGTTATTCCATTCGAGACGTCTAAATACGTATTCGAAAACTACCGATAAAAGTGTGGGTGACAATGGGCCTCCTTGTCTATTTCTTCTTTTGATAGAATTTTTTTGACCCACTACTCTGTTTTTTTAGCTCTCATATTCCTTTTGCGTGTTTAAGTGTGCCGAACGCTTTATTGTAGTCCACGAATGCAAGATAGTAATTAATTCCATATTGGTTACTTTTTTGGATAACCTGTTTTATGGTGTGGATATGATCAAGAGTTGAAAAACCACTGCGAAAGTAGGTATACACCCTACTAACAGTTTACTAGGCACACTAGGGATACAAAAACATTATGGGTTCTAAGTGAGCTATATTTGATTTCTTTAATATGTATAGCAGAATTGCACGAATGCATAGAAATTCACCCAAATTGACTCAAAATCCTCCTAGTATACCGTCCCAGATGTCACCAGTAAGCTATTCAGCATTATACAAGGTGAGTCGTTCCTAATGCGTTTATGTTCTTCTCAGATGTCTCATCTTATTGGGTAGTAATCATCGTTTTTAACATACTCCGACTAGTTTCGTTAATGGTCGCTGGTGGACCACAGGCCCAAACAAAATTCCCATTTACCTTTCCCTTAGATTTTTCCACAGAAGCTTTGTGGCGAGACTTGCTAAGCCATAAAAGCGTTAATGTCTAACTACAGTAAGAGAGAACCAACGTCATCGACATAACCTCACCGGATTAGTAAGCTAAAGTGGCAGTGGGCTGGTTTTATTACCTGCAATACCGACAACCGTCGGGGCAGACGAGTACTTGAGCTGAGAGCGCATCTCGACAAACATAGTATCGGACGCCCACAGGCCAGGTGGAGTGACGATTTGAGCAGGAGGCGGGGGGGGGGGCGAGAATTCGAAGATTTTACTTTACCGATGATGATGATAATGACCAATCTACGACTGTTAGTGATAAATCCGAGGCCAATAGACACATTGTCACAGTAAGTGTAAGTATTTGATAGCATTTCGTCGATTTTTCAGCTGTTAGACTACTTCGACCGAAGCCTTTGGCGTGAGCTGCAAAGAGTGAACCAAAAAAAGCTGAAGTTGTATTTATTAATAAAATAACAAACAATTACTTTAATAATCTTCCCTCTTATATCTTTTAAAATAATTCTAAATTCATTTTAAAGATATGCTGTGAAACTTCTCCACTCACCTAACTCACCTACCTACTTAAAATGCCACTTCCAATATCTCTGCTCTAATCATGACATAACTCTTCGCTCTTCCAACAATCTTCTCCTTCTTTGTCCTTTACATAATTCCAGTATGGTCCATTCTTCCTTCCCTGTTCAAGCTGTAACTCTTTGGAACACACTCCCACTAGAAATCAGGATGTCCACTAACCGATACAGTTTTATGCTTAAAGTACGGAAGCTCTATAGAGACTTGTTGACGGAGTCATCAGAATAACACCTTAAGAGTATATTTATTATCATAGATATTATTATACATTATATATATTTTGTCATTTATTATGATATTTATATGTATAGACTGTATGTATGTATATCTAGTACTTATATATCTGTAGGATTCTTTCTTTTCTGCCATTGTAACATGGCTTAATTCAGTCTTATCTTTACCTGTCCCAAATATACACCTGCCACACACAGCTTTGCAACACCCAAAGGTTTGACTGGAAGAAAATGCCTGAGGCATTAAGTCCGCCTTATGCAATATGTTTGCAAGAAGACTCAATAAATAAATAAAAGCAATTTTAACCTACATTAAATGCCCAACGAATCTAACCTATTTAATTGGGTAAGGAATAGGACTTTTTTGTAGATCTTTTTAATACATACAATTCCGTAGTACATTATATTAGTCTATCTCGTAAGGTTTAGACAGCGTTTGCAAATAAAGAGCACAAAAACATATTTTTTACGACAAATCTTTGAAATTCTCGAATTTTCTCTCCTATAATATGCATGTAGAGGAAGATTTATATAATAATAATAATAATATTGTACCACATTCACACAACGCCATCTAGTCCTAAACTAAGCAGAGCTTGTACAGTCTAATCAGCGATTTATAGGTTACGATGACCCATCGAATAGAGGCATCGAGGCGTATACCCGAATTTTATTACGCGAATTGGCCTTCAGTGACCTAAAATCAACGTATGGCTGCAAAGAGGAGCAATTAGTTTTTATTCTACGAGTATAACGTGTCCTTACTCTTATTTCTACAAAACAATTTCGACGTTTCACATCGTCTGGCAGATGTGCCCCGTGACGGCTCATTTTTTTTAAAGCTTGGAGCTTAAATTAGCTTTGTTATCATTTTTACTTCAATGGATATATAAACGAATAAAAGATTCCTTTAGGCGTTCAGGACGCGCTGTTAGGTGACGGGATGTATTACCACGCAAAAGCCGCATTCATTAAAGCTAACATTGATGTGGTACTTAGCTCTATTAGTTTTAGACTAATAGTGAAACATATTAAATAGAAGATCCTTGAAATGTTTCTATTAAATAGAGTATTCCTGAAAATAAATTTACATAGATGTTGCTTATTTTAAACGAGTAGTCATATACTATGAAACCCTATACTTCGGAACGCTCAATAAGCATTTTGTGGGATGTTATTATTATAATGGGATTCCCGGCGTGCTACAGTACAGTGCAAATAAAACTGTTAAACTTTTGAACTCGCCTATCAGTACGGGTCACATGTTTAATCTATTAATTGACGTCTTTCATGAACAATGTTGTTATTGCAAATACATTTTGATACCGGATAAAACATGTAACATTGATTTCTAAACTAGTGAAAACAGCATTCAAAAGTTTACTAAATAAATTTGTTGGCATATAAACAGACCTAACATTTATAATATCAGTATGGATTAAGAAGCCTCTTTTCATTTAAAGCAGCAGTTAATTTAAAAAAATTATAAGATCTATCCCCGAATTTGTAGTATGATACTTCTTAAGATATATGAACAAAAAGGTGGCACCTCAATCTGTGTTTAGATTGAGGAACCACGTCAGAACTAGGAATATGATGGATCAATATTTACCATAATTTACTATAATTTTGTAGTATTCGAGAGTTAGTAGACAAAATCTGAACTCGGTAATGTTAAAATTAAAAAGTTACCATACATTATACAGAGTGTAAGGGGCGTCGTAACGAATACTGAAATAGTGTATTCAGACCATCATTCTATTGACTGCACGGATGGCGTAGTGGTTTAAGCGGTCGCCACGCCGCTTCCTACTGCGCCGAGTGTTGTGGGTTCAAACCCCACATGGGACGACACTTTGTGTGATCCACAAATTGTTGTTCTGAGTCTGGGTGTTCTTTGTGTCCGTTTCATGTATGTTTGTAAAGTCCCCCGCGACACAGGATTTATTCCTAATGCGGGCGTTGTCTTTTTAAAAAAGAAAAAAAGAAAAAGAAAATCATTGTTTTTTTTAATTTTTAGATAATGTGAATGGCGTGATGAATTCTGTCGATGATGTAGTGATACTGGGTGACTTTAATGTACCTTCAATTAAATGATCTAAAAATAAGAACTTTCTACAAGCTGATCTAATTCAATTCAGCAGTTTATTGAGTTATTCGCTAATCGATTTTATGTCCACCAATAATCTTTGACAACTTAATTTTTTACTCAATGAATACAACAGGGTTTTAGATCTAGTCTTTACTAATTTGTCCTATGTGAAAGTAGAGGATTATCAATCATGGTCAGTTTCTGAAATCAGTAATCAATTAAATTATTTTTTTCCAGAGATTTCAAGCGTGTCTAGACGCACACGCAGCGATTTCAGAATTATATGAGGTCATTAAGGGCTTGATCGAGAAATATGTTCCTAAACATAATAGTATAAAATCTAAGTACCCTTCGTGGTTTAGTTAAGCATTTACTGATAGGGTGAAAGAATAAGAGAAACTAAGACTAAAATATCGCTGTTATAAGAATCCCAAAGACTTAATAGCTCTCAAACTTTGCTAAGACACTGCAATAATTTATACCGTACTGGTTACTTACAATATAGGCACAATATTGAACTCAATATCACAAAGAATCCGAGAGTATTTTGGAGATACATAAAAGAAAAGAACAAAAATTCATCTTCAATTCCATCTCACATGTGTAGGGAGGATAAAACTGACGACACTGGAACCGCAATCGCAAATCTATTTGCATGTCAATGTGCAACCACATACAGCCATGAAGATGACAAGCCTTTAGATTTGGTCAACCTGGATCCGTTCTCTCATGACGAACGTAAATAAAATAAAAAAAACTGGATATATTTAGAGGCGCAGGTCCAGATGGTATACCAGCTGTTTTTATTAAACACTGTGGAAAGGCTTTAGGTCTACCGTTTGCTTTAATATTTAACCGCTCTCTAAAAGAGGGATGGTTTCCTAACGAATGGAAAAAAGACAGACTACTGCCACAGTACAATAAGGGCAACCCTAGCATTTTAAATTATCGATGACTCAACAGACTAGCCATAGCCATTTTATCATGCTTCTCAAAGCTTTTTGAATCGCGGTCGTGAAGAAAGCGGTCCAAATGTTTGGCTTTTTAAAGCGCAAATAGGAGATTCAGGCACGAATTCAGACGAGAGATTCTGACGAGAATCACATTGTACAAAGACTTGGTTCGAAGTCATTTTGAATTCGGATGGGTAGTGTGGAACCTCTTTTACGCATCACATTCTCTCATCTCTCACATAATGTACTCTATCCAACCGCCGCAAGTTACATTATATGTTCTTCTTAAACAGTGACTGCAGTGACTTATCAAACTGCCTAATGCTTGCCAACAAATGCCAGAACTTTCTGCCAACAACTCTCAAGAACCAATTTAGGACTAAACTCTCCTTTGGTACGTGCATGTCGTGAAAATAATATGCTAAATGGTAAAATTGACCAACTGGATACATTCCACAATTCCTTTATTCACTTCAAGGATATGATACTGAAATCGTTTTCATGACTGCCATTTTCATTGTTTAAACTTATCTATGTGTAATTCCTAAGTACAACATTTTTATTAATTTTCGTTCACTTTCATCTTAATACTCGTATTGCTACTACTTGAATGTCTATCTAAAGATGTTTACTGTGCATGCCTGTAATTGATCTACATATGAGAACTATCCTTTAAATTAAACTGTATTTTGAACAATGTTGTATGTGTATCCTGTTGGCGTGTACAACGTTTTCAATAATATTCTTAAAATACGTACCGTGTTCTAGGTAGCTCCTCAATTCAGATGTTTAGATTGAGGAGCCACTTTTACATTGATGTAACTTTGGATATATCGTCGGTCGGATTCATTACCGGAACATTTTCGAAATTATGTGTTTTGAGATAAGTATGTGGTTTGGTAGGGAATTCTAAAATCTTTCTAAATCACTAACGGTATATCTCAAACTTTTGTTCTTATATTAATAATAATAATCTACAACATACACACAACGCCATCTAGTCCCAAACTAAGCAGAGCTTGTACTATGGGTACTAGACAACTGATATAAATACATATATACTTTTTTTTGTAAATACATACATATTATACATAGAAACACCCAGACCAAATCAAACATTAAATGTTCATGCACACAAAATGTTTGACTTGAGCGGGAATTGAACCCGCGACCTCTGGAATAGCAGTCCGTTACACAAACCACTACGCCATCCGGTCGTCTAATGATCAGGAAAGCATTAATTCTGATATGGAAAAACAAATCTTTTCGGATTCTATATCAGTTTATTTCAAAATGTCCTACTGATACTTTGATATCTGTAGTCCATCACTAGTTCATCTTATTTTTTTTCCAATATGACTTCGAAATTTAAAGTTGAATATTTCTTTTTGCGCGTTTTGTGCCGTTGGCGGTCTGGACGCCGCACCGCTTAGTGGCTAGATACAGCTCGACTTTTTGATGCTTTATAATATTATTAATTAAATAATATACTCGAGAGCTAAAAGACTGCTTAAATTAGCAGAAACAAGAAGTGCCGAGAGTGATCAACAACCTAGTGGTAAGTTTTATTACAATAACATCTTATTAATTTATATGTTGTGTAATCTAACCATTTTTAACTAATCTAACCAGTTTTTTAAAATGGGACTACGTGGGAATGGGAAATGTGCCTTCTTGTACCAAGCTTATTATAATACCTATTTATCTGGTGATACACAAATGAAACTCATGATAGGTACCAAACCAAAAAAATCTAAAACTCACTATGTTTTTCATTTATTTGTACTTGTAAATGCCAAAAAGTGAATTTTAGATTTGTCTGGTCTCGTTTATTAACAAATATTATATCTCGAGTCTAATTGAGTACAAGTAAGTATGTACTTGCCTATGAGCTTAAATTTATTTAAACTGATTTATTTTGACAACTGTGATGTAAATATTCTCTAAAATACAAGCTTATTATTGCTTTCTCAGCATGGTTCATTTTGCTTACCTACCATCAGGTGAAGGGTATGGGTATAGCTTAGCTTACAGAGACCAATGCTGTTTGTAAGGAGACCCTTGCAAATACCGTTGTAGAATACAAGAACCATCATCATTGGACTGAATTAATTAAATATTACGTGTTAAAACTCTTTTTGGTAGGCAGCCATAAAAACTCGTTTCCCTTCATACCTTTATGCTAGCTACCACGACCACCCTGTTCCTACATACATGATTTGACAACTATGTAATACCTTTTTTTTTAAAAGGTGCTTATCACATACTTAAATTACTTTCCTAATTATTGTTGGATATTTTGTTTTATAGGCATTGAATTGGACCAGTTGCAGGCTTATAAAGTGGATGAAGAAAATAATAAAAATCTAGCCGGACAAGAGATTGCAGAAGGAGATTAAACATAGTGTAACGCGTTTAAATGATACAAGTAGGTAAAACTTGTGTTTGGGTTCATGGAAGCGTTACGAATAAAATTATTTTTATTGAATTATATTGAAATTGGTTTTTACATGACAAACAGATAGTGACTGTGTGATGAAAATCGTTCCAGAAATGTGTGTTGTAGGCAAAGACTCTAATCCCTACAACGAAGTTGAAAATCAAGACGAGCTAGAGTCTGAACCAGGTTAATTTTATAACCTTTGCTCTGATACGTTATCTACTTGTCGAAATTTTCAATATTATCCAAATTTTCAGGTGCTTTATATGCAAATGACTTAGAAGAAAGCTTCAATGCAAGTTTTACAGCAGCTGAAATCCAGTTACTTAAAACCCCACTTAAAGACTATGAGACTATTGTTTCTGAAACTCAGGAGCATGCTGAGTCTATGGTTGGTGAGTAATTATAATATAATATATATAGTAGAAAGTTAAACAAATTCTACCACATTGACTCAACGCCATCTAGTCCCAAACTAAGCAGAGCTTGTACTATGGGTACCTACTAGACAACTGATATGAATACATATATACTTTTTTTTTGTAAATACATACATATTATACATAGAAACGCCCAGACCAAATCAAACATTAAAAGTTCATGCACACAAATGTTTGACTTGAGCGGGAATCGAACCCGTGACCTTTGGAATAGCAGTCCGTTACACAAACCACTACGCCATTCGGTCGTCCGAATTCATACCTACTTATAGTACATTTACGAATTGTTTTAAGTATAGTTTAAATAACGAACAGTTTTAATGACTTTTTTATGTTTACAGTAGATGAATACGTTTCAGAACCGATTCAACCAATTATGGAAGCAAAAAGCAGCTTGGCTGAAATAGGCCTACATGATTCTGATTTGATAGATTGCAAGGATATGTCTACCCATAATAAAATATCTAAAAAGAGGAAAACTGGAAGAAGAATGTTAAAAAACGTTTGAGAAACACGGGCAAATCTCATGAAACACTTAAAGGACGCACAGTAGCTGCTAAAAAGCTGAAAATTCCGTGCACAATACCAATACCAAATGTACTGAAAAAATTAGTAAAGCTATTGTTAAAGATTTTTAATGACTTTTGGGCAATTGGTGATCTCGCAAAACAGCGATACTACGTCAGTACTTCTATAGGAGTTGTCAAGCCAAAGTACTCATTGCATAATGAAAATGTTAAACGTACCCCAAACGTATCATACACTTTTTCTGTAAATTCGGATAATATTAGATTATGCAAACGATTCTTTTCAGCAACTTTAGACATTAGACACTTCTTTTTGTCAACAGTTAATAAAAATAAAGATGACGTTTTGGGGGTCATTGCTGAAGATTGCAGAGGGCATCATGGTAACACCGGTAGAAGTTTAGATCAGGCTGACAAAGATGGATCCCGGGAAGATATTAATTCCTACCCAAGAAAAGAGTACCATTATTGTCGAGCAAGTTCATCAAACGAATATCTTGGTGGTGATTTACACTTGACAGTGATGTACCGGCAGTACAAAGAATGGTGTCATCAGAAAAACAAGACAATTATCAAGCAAGGAACGTATGAACACATTTTTAGAAACGAGTTTAACATTGCGTTTAACAAGCCAAAGAAAGATCAACGTTTACTTTGTTTGTCGTCTCAAAATGCTGTTGGTGAGGATAAGTTACGATTAACGCACGCTCATAATCAACATTTGAAGGAAAGAGATTTGTGCAGGTTAGAGAAAAAACAGACATAGAATTGGGTAAAAATGATGCAGGCAAAATGATTTGCTGATTTGACATGCAAGCTGTTTACCATACCACATGCATAAACGATACCTTATTTTTCTATACGTCATTTCAAAGGCTGTCTATTGCTATTTGTGGAACAAATCTCTTGGCGGAAAGGGTTGTGATGAAGCTGGTACGTGTATCTACACATTTTTAAAAGAGTAGAGATAATTGATCCGCACAGAATAAAAACAAGTATCTTCTCAGCCTCTATCACTATGCAATAAAAATATTGGCCCGTGAAATCCATAACGCACAAATATTTAGTAGTTGGTCACACCCAAAATGAAGGGGACAGCGTGCACAGTACTATCGAGTGGGAGAAAACAAGAATTTTAAGAAATGGTTCCATTTATGTTCCCTCACATTGGAAATCTGTAATCCAATGTGCTAAAAAATATAGATTTTATGATTTAGACTACACCGAAATATTGGATCTTAAGGATTTGGTAAGACATTTTGGTAAAAATTTCACTATTAATAATGATGGCGATCGTGTTGTATGGAATAATATTAAAAAACTATACCTGCAATCATCATCTCCATACTCGGTGTTCTACCACGACGCATACGATCCAAACGTAACCATGTAAATTAGCAAAATTACGACCAGAGGTTCAAGAAGTACTGAACTGCAACTTCGCAATAAGTATCTCGAGCCACCAATAACATCTAGGCTCAAGAGAAACCACTTAATCTCTTTACGCGACTCCAATGTTATTCCAAGAGTGTACCGCGATTATTACGCACGCCTAGAGGCTGCAGATAACGGTAGCTATGATGAGAATGACGAAAATGATTTATTTTAAGTTTTTGGATTTTAAAATAAACTATAAAAAAACGTCAAAATTGCTTGTGTTCTTTTGTTTTTTTTTCCGGCTCATTTAGAAATATTCCGCTTGAACCTTATTTTTTTCATAACATTCATGTTTCATTATTGGAACATCTCAGAAAAAGTAATAATTACTCAAAAACTGATAATACAACTTAAATTTTAGCTACCATACAATTAAACTACATTAAATAGGCATATTATTAAATTAAAATCTTGCTTACTTTCCTCATAAAACAATACAAAACTTTAAATTATGCATTTTGAAACAAATTGATATGTTTCACCCCCAATTTTGCTTTTTTGTCTATTTTGTCCGATAACTACTACAAAATGATTTAAAATCAAACTAATCCGCGAAACTTATTACAAGAAATCACCATACTTGTTAGTTGCAAGTTGTCACTTACGAGGGTATTCGAGGCCAGCCTCTCTAAATGATGCGTGTTACATTTAAAGCAACATTTTGTACATGTATATATTATTCATTTAATATCCGATTTCTGTTAGTGTTTAACATGGCTTGGTTACAGTCATATCTGTTAGTGATACTTGCAACAAGAATATGGGCCGTACACAGAGAAGTTATTACGAAGAGCAGCTTAACATTTGTTATTGACGATACAGCCTCGATGCAGGAGGAAATACGTCAAGTAAAAGAGACTGTTGACTCCATTTTTGACACTGTAACTACATCAAATAAATCTCAAATAGAAAACTTTGTTTTGGTCACCTTTAATGATCCAGGTATGTGATTAGATTAGATTAGTACAATGTATCATAATTATCAACAGCCTTTACTAGGCTACTGCTGGACATAGGCCACTCCTTAGAAAGGAGGTTTAGGTCTACTACTACAATGTGTAAATCAATAGTAAGAGCGAATATGTTCTTGCATAGATCAAATAATATGGGTTAAACCTAATAATTTTTAAGCTCGATTTATTTTTGTAAATGTAATATATATATTGGGTCTTTACTCGTTACATTGAATTTAGTATATGAACTAAGGACACTAAAAATAAAGAAATCAAAACTGTTAACAAAATAAAACATGATTAAGATAAATGTTTAGGAGGACTGTTAGGATTAAGTAAGGGAATGCTTTAAAATAATAACCATCATCAGGCTATCGAAGTCCACTGCTGGACGTAGGCGTCTCCCAAAATAATAATAATCATTAATTAATAGTGCTAATAAGAATACCCTCTTTCAGATGCCAAACTACTCACCGTAACCAAAGATCGTACAAAGTTTAAGACAGCCTTATGGAACATAAACATACATGGTGGAGGCGATTGCCCCGAATATTCCATGAAAGGTATTAAAATTGGTCTAGAAAACAGTTTACCCCTTTCTTATATGTATGTGTTTACTGATGCCTCAGCTGCAGATTACACTCAATTTGAAGAAATCAAGAGTATTGCACAGAAAAATCAAATTCAGGTAACTTTTTTAGCTTTTGTGGTTAGTAAAGTAACTTGTTATCATTTATGCCGTAAACATTCCTAAAGCTTTAAAGTGTATATAGGCATATGAGGTCTGCCCACGGTCTTATGCGTTTGTGCTTCAGACATGTCCGAGTATAGAACAAGTGTTGATAATATCATTTGTTTTCACACAAAAATCTCGCCAATTTTTTTTTTTATTGACCAATATTATAATATAGGTATTCCAGTGTAAATATATTTCAGTTTAAAATCGATTTTAGACAATAACTAGACAAAGTTATATTATGTTAAGTTCCGATTTTATGATCCATTTCGTATGATTTTTTACACAAAGGTATTAAGTAATATATCACTGCAAAATATTTTTTAAGGTTCTTTAAAAAATATTTTGCAGTGATATATTAATAATATTGTCTACCTACATGTTGATTTGCTATCCATAATTATATCAAAATTGCGTTTATGATTTTGATTTATGAGTGATCTGTATGTAATACATAATATGTTTAGTATAACTTGTTACTAATGTTGCATGCTGTGGTCTTCTATAGGGAGTACACCGAAAGATTACTGTAAAATATTCACTGTAAGTTATTACAACTGTGTATAGCCTTTGTTGGAGATCCTTAAATTATCTAAATAAATTAAGACTTAGTTCAAAACTTTAGTCGCTGCCTGCCTGAGTCTCCTGCACAACCAATCTGTGGAACAGGTTATTGTATCAGGTATTTCCGGACCGACTACTGAGTTGCAGACGTTCATGAGCGGCGATAGTCACGAGCAGATGACCCGTCTGCTCGTCTGCTCCCTCTTCAATGAAAAAAAAACCGCTATATGTATAACTCTACTCTTCGTTCCGAATTTAACCTTGCGGGGAAACAAAGACGATCGAGTCAAAGAATAAATTAATTTTTTATTCTTTTCAAATTCTTTATTAATAATTGAGTATTTAAGAAGATGGGATAAACATAAATTTTACGATTACTTTCTAAAACGGATCCTTGCCCTATCTTTAGATTTAACTATTTCCAAGCTTTTGATATATTAATATTGTCATTAGAAGCATGAATAGGTACAATAAGTAATACAAATTGTGTGCAATAGGTTAGCGTCACCAATGTGTTAGATCCCCAAAGATGCTTGATTATGGTAATGTAAAATTTATTTTGTGTATTTTGAGTATACCTAACACAATTTTTAATGTAAGTTGTCACAGGCGTACCTTCGTTTTCTATAAAACATGTTATAGTTGCTACATGAAGTGACATCCGTCAAATTAGTTCTGAGCCTCAATTCTGCTATTCTAATATGTATTGTATCGATAGACTGTCGATGGAATGTCGTCGGAATAGTTTTGCACTTTTCGTATTGTACTATGTAAGACCGGATGACTAGTCACTGAACTGCCACTAATGCAAATGTCGTCGATGGCTCTGTAATAGTTTGGTAAACGGTACATTTTAAATTTGTTAGAAAATGATATATTTAATTTTCCAGATATGGCAATGTTGTTGATATCACCATTAATGACCTATATTACTATAACGACAGTCTATTGTCATTTTGAATTTATGTTAGTAGATTACTGTCATTTTCGCCGATGTCAATGGCGTCTCAATGACATCTCAATAGCGTGTCAATGGAATGACAGTAGCTTGGCGTTAACATAAAATAACAGAATTGATGCATTGTTCGATTGCCCCCTATGTCATATAAAGTACCAAGAATTAACATATAAACATATGGGTAACCACGATAAACAAAAAACGAAATTTTCAACTACCATATTTTAAAACCGAACAAGAAAACCGAACCGAACAACCGTAAATATATGACTATTTACAGTTTTAATATGCGTTGTTCTTATTTTAGGTAACCTTTCTGTTGACTGGTGACTGCAGTTCTAGAGCCAATCCAGATTATCAAGTATACCATAAAGTAGCGAAGGCCACATCAGGGCAAGTTTTTAACATGATGAAACAGGATGTGAAAGATGTAATTTATATTATGATATAATTATTATTTAATGATATAATTATTATTTATTTAAAACTTACTTATGGTAGTCACTTTCCATCAGGTGACCCGTCTGCTTATTTGCCTCCTCTTCCATTAAAAAAGACTACATGATGCGGTGCCATTATTTTTACAGTAATAAATAATTAATTGAGTTGAATTGAACAAAAAAACAATATCCTATGCCCAGTAACATTATATATAATATATACGTCTTTGAATGAATTACTTTCATTACAGTTCGGTAGATATATCAAAAAATATCATCAGTTGACCTTGACTGTAACTTGTAGGTACTTCTAAAATATTTACAGAGTTATAATACGTAGAGGAATCTTTTAGTAATATTTACTAAAATATTCCTCTAACTTAAGTATCAAAAAAGCCATAACATATTGCTAGCATCGGGGTAGTATTAAAAAGGTCACTTTCAATGACATTGATATCATTTACAGGTATTAGAGTATGTGGTGGAAACAATTAAAGGCAGGGATAATATACTGGTTGATAAAACATTACCATCTGGCTTACATGATGTTGAGGTGAGTGGAACAACTAAAGTACATATAGTTACATATAGTAGGTACTATTGAGAAATTTGGCAATATTTTTTAATTTTAATATAATATAGTTAAAATCGAATCAGTTCTGTATAAAAGTTACGTGTACAGATCTTTCGACTGAGAACAGCTATTGTCCATAATACATCTTCTTGTTGTTTTTTATTGTAGTTTTCCCAATATATTAAATCCAAAACTTTAAGATCAATGTATATCATGCATACCACGTTTTAGATGTAATTTTTTTAACAAATACAAAAGGCAAATTAAATTTAAACGTCACTATCAGATGAAAGATTACAGTTTTGTGGAGATTAGTTAAACAAATACGTTGGCCCTAACAAAAGAATTTCAAATGCTGTTACATTATGGAATAAAACCCTGACATCCCGATGAGCTTTGCTCTTATGTCACTAATATTATAAGCCTAAAGGTTTGAAAATATGTTCCAATATGACATTTTCCACTCCGTCACGTGGATTCTGATGTTTGGCAGACGAATAGTTTAGTACCTACTAGATACAATTAAGTACTCTTTAAAGTGGCTTAAACTTTTAGTTCTCATTCTTTTACACTGTAATGTAGGTTGTTTTTTATGGTGACGCTGAACTTACGATACGGTGCCGCCATCCATCAGCAAACGAGGCGATAACAACCCAGACTCTGTTTTTAGGTTTTTTGTTGTTGTTTTTTTTTGTTTAGAATATGTATATATATTTGTTTCAGTTTAAAGTTGATAAAAAAATGGAGAATGTAACTATATCTGTTTCTGGTTCTAATCCTACTGTAAAAGTAAAAGATCCAGGTGGCAAAAAGTTAGAAACTAAAGATATTGTTAACAAAAGTGAAATAAAGGTTAGTAAATACACTTTATAAGAAATGTTTAATTATTTAATTTGGTATACATTTCAATGTAAGCCTCTTTTCTGAACATTTTCTTCATAATTCACATAATAATGGTAAGATATCAACATGTTATTATTACAGCGTTTAAAAATATCATAAGTAACTTACATGCGTCAACTAATGAGAAAAGCAGATCAATTCTTTAAATTATGAAATATTGTTATTTGTTAGTGTTTAATTAAAAATATAAGCAAATTTAAATATTTGCAGATAGTAGGTGTTCCAAAAGGAGAACCTGGTGTATACACAGCAAAGGTTGGCAGCACATCAAATAAATCTGTAAGAGTCACAGGCAAAACTACTCTCAACTTTGAACATGGATTTTCAATGTACCAGCCTCTAACCTTGAGTGAGACAGCCACCAGACCTGCCCCAGGTTACTTCATGTATTCATTTAGAATATTTGACTGAAATTGGGTACACCGCTGCAAAAACAAATCTAGAATCACTACAAAGATCACAAAATAAATAAATTAAAACATTGTTTAAACACAATTTCCTCACACCAACAAACATTTTATATAAAAAAATATAGTTATAAAAAACTAAAAAACACGCTTTCTATAGAAAACCAAACTAAAAAATAGAAAATAAATTTGAAAAAAAGCGTGGGGTGCTTTTTACTATTGACAACAGGCACACAACGCTTTTTTTCAAATTAATTTTCAATTTTTTAGTTTGGTTTTCTATTTTTTTTTGAAATTATCGTATTGTCATCGGTCCTCGATATATCTACAAAGTTTGAACGAATTCTGACCGTTTAAAGTCAGTCAAAATCACGCCCAAAGGAGTCGGTTACAAGCATACAAACAAACATACAAGTGAAGCTAATATAAAGCGTGTAAAAAAAAAACAAAATTATTAAATATTAAATAGCTTGGATCGTCAAACGTCCCGCTCGAAAACCGAATTGAACGTCGGATAGATAGGGGCCCACCTCGCAGAGGTGCCGGACGATGCGGGTAGAGAGAACCCTCTCAAGTAATTTACCCGCCTCGTCCAGCAACACAATGGGCTTGTAGGCTGCGACCGAATTGGCAGGTTGTATCGCGTCTGGTCCGAGGGCGGTGTTCATAGAACGGTTTCTTAGAACATCCAACCCTACCACGGTATACGCGACGAATGGAACATCATCCATGTTATTCCTGTCGTTTCATGGCCATCCACGGGGTGTATTTCACTCGTTATGGGAAAAGACACTCAACCACTTCTCGCAGGAAGCTGAGCTGGAGAGTCTCCGAAAGAGGAGGGGGGTAAATAGTAAATAGTCTAAATAACAGCTGTTCCCGGATCCCTCCTTTTTCAGGCATAGAGCAGTACACCGTATGGTCGATGCAATTTCGATACACCGACCCTCCGCAAATCCCGGTATGACGGCCCGAGGGGGTTTCCACACGTAAAAAAAAGAGCTGCAGCAAAAATTGAATAGCCTCCAGGCGGCAAATATATGAATCCGCCACTGACGCTAAAATATATCTGAACTATTGAAAGAGACATAAAGATAATAACGTGAACAATGAAATAAACAAATTGTTCAAACTGCAGCATTAGCAAATTATTGTGTTTTTAGAATTGTTTTGCCTATTTCCTTATTAGCACTACTTACAATATCGAGATTATGACAAATAACTTCTTGTTATTCTAGATGGAAATACAAATCCTGTCAATTCAGCTACTCGGCGACGGAGTAATACTTCAAAGTGCAAAAGTAATTGATACGAGCGGCAATGTTTTGCAAGAGTTACCATTAAGATTAATTAATGAAAAAGACAAATTCTATGTGACAGATGAATTTAATCCACCAAGTACAGCGTTCAAAATATCCGTAAGTAATTTAATACATGTGTATAATTTTAAATTTAGAGCGTTTTTAGTTACTTAATTTCATAATTTACTGAAGAATGCCATAAACAGCTTAAAAATACAATTAGGTCGTTGATCATGTTTCAATGTCAATAGATATACATTACATAAAGACAACACTGATGAACTGACTGTGGCAATACATACGAGTACCTAGTGGAATTTAAATGAGTATAAAGCTACTTAATTATTTATCAGTTTCTTTATTTTGCATACGGACGTCAATTCATATTCAGATAACTTACAAGTATCATAAATTCGTTATACAAGTAAGCTCATTCTTATTCTATTGATAAGTTTCTACAAATTTAATGTTGATAAGTTTAAAAGGAATTACGCTCTTTTTAACTCTTTTATCGTCAGTAATGCTATTTGTAATGATACTATTTCTTGAAGATAACTACAACACTTTGTTCCAAATATAGCGCCATTATTAAATTATTTAACCTGAAATTCGACTTTTCTGTGATCTAAGTCGACTGGAAAGAATAAAATGTTTAAGACACCGATACATCAACGACAGCGAAGTCATCCTACGACGAGGGATACCGTTTTTTGCTTTTGAGACACAGAACCCTCAATATTGTAGTAGCTGTTATTATTCTTACTAATATTCTATTTAGAATTAATCTTTGTTTACCATGTTACAATGAATTATGTAATAATACAAAATGATGAAAAAAAACCTGTAAATATATGTATTGTTTTTACATAATTAGTGTATGTAATGAACTAAAATATACTGTGTTTGCACGTTTATTAATACTTTAAATATAATTACATATTGTGATCCCAAGGTTTCGGGTTACGATGTGGAAACAAAAACAACCGTGGAACGAATGTCTGCCACTCCAATTGAACGGCAAAACCCAAAACATGGTAAGATCTTTTTATTTATGTCTTTATTGCACATTATTCAATTCATCATTATCATAAGCAGCCTTTAATAGTCCACTGCTGGTTTTTAGTAGAATATAGTAAAATGATGTTATAATTATTTAGGTATTACTAATGTGAGGAAATCTCATACAATGTATATTTAACAACATATGTATTTCTTAAATTATTAATTTGAAATCTTATTTAATCTAATAAACTGAGGGTCATTGGCCTTCAGTGACCTAAAATCAACGTATGGAGCAAAGAGGAGCAATTATTTTTTATTCTACAATAAAACCTATTCAACATTTTTGTATTTCTATAATTCTAAATAGCGGGTCATATTCATTTAGAAAATGACGGCTTAAATTACAATAGCAATAAACATGTTGACTAGCCGTTTATTGATAGTAATGCATTTTAATAATTTCATTTAGCAGTAACAACAACTAATATCGCACCAATGGTAAAAATAATAGACGGTCCAAAGATAACCGTGGATTATAATGTACCGTTAGACTTAAAATGTAGAATAAATGGATATCCTAAACCCGAAGTAATGTGGATAGACACAAATACGGGCTCGACTACACGCACTACTGTAAGTATTTATACATGCGGCAGATACAATACTTACTAATGATCCTTACGAGTTTACTCAATATTCTTTATTAGATTATATAAATCATTAGAGAAAAAAAATCTATTTTTCTTTTAATCTATTCAAATAAATAAAATTGAAGTATCTGTTTGTAATGTCAAAATAGGATTTTTTAATGGTCACAAGGTTATTTGCAGGATACCTATGCCTATAAACCAGTTCAATTTTTTTGTCTGTCTGTCTGTCTATTTGTCTGAAGAGTGTATAATACACCTATTTATAATAATATATTTATGCAATATCATGTCACCGGGTTTCTTCTGCATAATATATGCATTTTAACCTATATTCTAGAATGTACAAAATATCTTTAGCTAGGACTGTATAGCGAAAATATATTACACATAATAATTATGTCTCTTGAATATGTATGGTACAATTTCAATTATTATGTACAATGTTATGATGATTTTTATGCTGTTAAAGGTTTCAACGATCGAGGCACCTAGTGATTATATAAGCATTCTGAAAGTAGAGAATGCAAATAAAAACTATACCTTTGAATGTAAGGCCACGAACCCGCTCGGAACAAATATGGATCGTATTCAAGTTGTAACCAATATTTTTTTTAATGTTTTGGAAACACCAAAGGGTAAGTAGCTACTTAATTATTATGCAGAGTTTTACCTACAATACACCTGAAAGAAAACGAAATTGACAGCATTTGAGTTTTTTTTATTATGCATTACAGATATAACAGAAATAGAATATGACAAGGAGGGCATAATTCCGTGCGTAGTAGATGCTCAACCACCTGCAATGACATCCTGGTACAAGAATAATAAATTACTGGTCAATGATACTAATATTGTTATAGCTAGTGACATGAGAACTGTCACCATAAAACACATGAATCTTGAATCACAGGGCAATTTCATGTGTGAAGTTAGGAATGAACTCAATAGAAAAGTTTTTTTTTCTAAAGTTAACGTGTTTGGTTTAGGTAAGACCTTTAATTTCATAAATCAAAAAGCAAGTAAGAATCTTTTTATTCTTTGAAAACATATACGTTAGTGATATCATTCACAACAAACTTGCTTATACATTTATATTTTTCTTTAAGAATATCAATACGATAAGGCCAAGTTTGATTAGTAATGTAATATGTAAACAGCTTTATAATCACAAACATGTTAAAGCATCAGGTATACTGATAAAAATAATAATGAAACAACTGTATAACTGTTTTAGAAAAACCGAAAATTAGCAAAACAGATGATATCGTTCTTGTGACAAAAGGAGACGATGCACAGCTCGAATGTCGGTAAGTTGTTACACAAAATATGAATGTATACAAAATGATGATAGTAATTAAATATGACTAATGATGAGAATTGACATCTAAAAAAACAGATTCTTTTTAAATGTCAATAGTACTTGAGTTTTCAAGATGAATACTTATTTATTTATTTTCAGCATAATTGAAGGAATTCCTAAACCCACGATACAATGGTATTTTCAAACAGAGGACGGTGAAAAATTTGAAGAAATAAGTGAAACAAGCGATATTCTAAGGTTACAAGACGTAGACATTGATAAAATCGGGACGTACTTGTGTATTGCTAGCAATGAGATAGGAAATGAGCGATACGCCATAGATTTGATTGTAGAATGTTAGTATGAAAATAATAACTTGTCACATCAATTTATGAATTTATTACATCACAGTGTCGTAAAGGTCTCCAGACCCACTCTAAGTGGTACACTAATGTAAGTCAAGCATTACGGGAGTTTGAGGTCGCCGTTAAATTCTATATATTCAATACGGTCTAGGCTTGCCTTCTGTTATCCGGGCATGTTACTCTCACTGGCGTGTTAACCACTGTTAGTGATCCTGACTGCTTAGCCAGAGCTCGTAAGTTCAATTACCACTCAGGACAAATATTAATTGTTGTGTGAGGAGCACGATCATTTGTTCTGTGACTGGGTGTTTTTATCTATATTTTGATTGTATTTAGGTTTATCAGCGGTCTGGTTACCATAGTACAGGAACTGCCTAGTTTGGGATCAGACGGCGCGGCGTGTGTGAGATTATTATTATTAATTTTTAAAGCTCAGTTATTGGAACTCACTGGTAATGGAATGCCAAACATTAAAAACTGACGTTTGATTGCGTATATTGAACAGTTTCAATTAAACGTATTAAACAGACAGGAAACAATAATTCTACTTATTAATAAATAGTACTTTTAGACTAATAGTGTTGCTAAACTGATGTCTTGCATAGTTTAAAAGTACTTTTCCACTGAAATAAAAATATACTTCATATTTCTAATATTTTACTTTGACAAACTGGTTATTACTACAGAAAGAGGTAATAATAACAATAATAATTATAAATTTATATAAGTTTACAGAAAGCCTCTATATTAAACACATGTAGAATCGTCAGAAAATTCATGCAGTTAGATGACACCACCACACTAACATAATGTACACACCACATGCTGTATTTACTTGGTTTAGGCCCGTAAATACGGTGGAACCAGCTAAAAAGCTGAGAAAATAAACATTAAGACCCAAAATAATAATAATAATATATCGCTTTTATGTACACCAGGTATAAATATACAATAATTAACTTAAATTAGGTTAGATAAGTACCTACAAATGGCCTTAAATATAAACTTATAAACTGATTAACTTCTTCGACTTTATAGCACTAATTATTTAAAGTAACACAGTTAGTATTTGTTTTAGATCCACCCACAATCAAGGATAGCGATAGCAAACTACAAGCTAAAGACGGCGATGTGGTAACTATTCCCTGTGAAGTAGATGGTGTACCTACACCTAAAGTAAAATGGTTTAAGGATGGCAGCCCAATAGATCACTTAAGTGATTTCCAAATTACCGCCAATCATACTTTAAAGTTAGTACATGTTCATTAATGTGCAACAAATCAATCTGTTTTATCAATTTCAGATAGATTATATTTAAAAGTTCTTTATTCTACTGTTTGGTATTTTTCCTTCAGATGATTGAAATACATATTTTGTAACTTTAAAGTATTCTGTAGGTTAGGTTTAACCGGTAGGAGCAACCAAATAGCTATATTGCATTGAACCTACTACTGAATATCTTTGTTTTTTTGTAGCTGCGTTTACTGTTCTTGTTTCCGTATTTATTAAATATACGTTTCATTAGAGCATTCCAAACTTTGTCAAATTTATTTTAAAACATGTTCTAAAATAAAAGTCACCAAGTAGCTGGCCACAGCTAATATACTATGAAGCTCCTGTGAAAAAGTTTACAACTCATTGCTGACGCTCTTGCAGAAAAGTTGATTTTCACCATTTACTTGCTTGAAGAAATGTATCAGGCGTTGTACCGACCTTTTGAAAAACATTTATAACAAGACATTGTATTTAATTTAAAAATAACATTTTGATATTACAAGACAAAAACAAGAGTCAATTCAAAGGTATACCACCACACAGCTTTAATTTAATCTAGACGATGAAAATAACACAAATATAATTAGATAATAGTAAATTTATTTTCAATTAACATCAATATTTATTTTCAGGTGGCACGCAAAAGTATTGTCTGATAACGGGCTCTACACTTGTGTAGCTGAAAATGCATTTGGGTCTACCAACAAGACTGTTTTAGTTGATGTGTTTGGTGAGTATTTAAAATAATCCATCATTATAATGTACATCATTTTGAAATCCTCTTCACATCTAATTCTGCTCTCTATACCTATATTAGATTATTGAAAAGGAATAATTTCGAGAACTTCATTTTTTTATTAAACATTGATTAAATGACTTATTGTTGCAATTATGATTACTATGTGAATAAGTAATGATTATAATAGTTATAATAATATTGAAATTATACGTTATATTGTCCAATCTATATACCTATCTGTAAAAGAAGATACTGACAGATTAATTCACTGACTGGTCGATCAACGCACAGGTAACACCTCTGGGTCTAGAAGCATTAAATTTTACATAAATGTTTCCGACGTAGATGTGCAGTAAGAAAGGATTTAAAAAAAAACATTTTTGTATTTTAAAGATTTTTAAAAAAGGTTGCAAAATGGGGGTTGGAAATTTATATAAAACTTCGTTATTTTCGGTAGTAGCGTCTTCAAACTCACAGTAAATACTTTTTATTAATGGTAATAAATAACGTTACTAATTTTTCAAAACTACTCTTAATAAATAATAGTTTAAAAAAACTAAAATTAAAAACACGCTTTTATAGAAAATCCAACTAAAAAACAGAAAATAAAGTTAACTTAATCAAACTTAATCAAATTTACACTATTCTTAATCCAAATTTATTAAACTTTATTTTCTGTTTTTTAGTTGGATTTTCTATAAAAGCGTGTTTTTAATTTTAGTTTTTTTAAACTATTATTTATTTTTCATTTTTTAGTTATTTTTTTTTGTTTTTTTCTGTATATCACGGTTATAAATATATTATGGATATTATAAAATGATAATAGAATGCGTATTAGATTTGTCGGGACATATATGTAAGTATAAGGAACAAGACGCAACTACCATATTAGTTTTTATAAGGTTGTGCTGAACTGAGTGCCCGAAAGAGCAAGTCTGGAACTGCACGCATGCGTAGTTCGCGCACTAGCTCTGTCTCTCTTACTCGCATGCAAAGGATGCGGAAAGAAATTAATTAATCCTGGCGAATCTAATTAGGATAATCGGATATTTTGATCGGATTATTGCATTGTCATCGACCTTTGACAGGTGGACAAAGTTTGAATCAAATCTGCTCGTTCAAAGTAGGGCAAAATCGAGCTCAAAGGAGTCGGTTACATACAAACAAACAAACAAACATACAGGTGAAGCTAATAATAAAAGCGTGTTAAAAAGCGTGTTAAAAAGGGGTGAAACTATCCTTAAAAGGGGTGCACGTTTGTTTGTGAAACTATTTTTTTAACTTATTGGTTCCAAACTCTTAGTATAATAATATTCTCTATAAAAAAAGTATTAAATATTCTCTCTTTTTTTATTTTCAAAACTACCCCTATAAGTGATTAAATGGGGTTGTTATAAAATAAAGTTGGGATTTTGTACAGGCATTTCAGAGTAGAAAAATCCAAGAACTCCAAAGATTTATAATAATTATGATGTCATACATGGCACCCCCGCGAAGCCGGGGCAGGTCACTAGTTTAGGCATAAAGGTTGTGTTTGGCAAGATGTATTAATAGTTTTCCAATTTTTAGATAGGCCTATGTTCAGCAGTGAACTGGAATAGGCTGATGACGACTTATGCAAACATGAGTTGTTTACAGATCCACCGCACATAGAGCTTCCAAAGTTATTTACAATAAAGACTACCGTTGGACAGAATATTGTATTACCATGTCGCGCTGATGGACATCCACGACCAGTGATTAGATGGATTTATAATGATTTAGACCGAACAGTGACAGAAAACATACGGTAAGACAAAACATTATCGATTGTTTGATCTGTCTTTGTTTTACAATAAGTTACATATCACACACACATATACATTTTGTTTAACGTGTATTTATAATCACATTTTTTTTTGAAAAATAACCTTTCTGAACATGTTCAATTAAAATTAAAACAAAAAGGTAAAACTCAAGCAAAAAGTGAACCCGGGACAGACGTACGGCTCGACGGTCGCTGGATCCCCGTATTTTAAACCTCTAATATCTTCTAAAATATTCACGTTAATGATATGTTGTTACGAGAATTTTTAATCTACATTAAATGCACTAAGTATCTAATGTATTTAATTGGATAAGGAATAATAATGTACTGCTTCAAATAGCTTCCTAAATAGCAAAAACAATTTTTTAAACAAACCTTTTTAATTCTCGGATTTTGTCTACTATAATATGCATGTATTATACATATAAACTTTTTTCTTGAATCACTATTAGTGAAAACCGTATTAAAATCCGTTGCTTAGTTTAGGAGATCAAACACAAAAAGCGACTTTATTTTATCATAGTATACAGTAAACATGATACATACATATATTGATAGGCTACGAAATCACTATCTAATAAGCTATACTATAAACACCAGTTTAACTTTTATGAAAACAATAATTGTTGTTGTTTTAAGGTATCATAAAAAAATAATGGCGTTACGATTAGGAAATATAAAGTTGAGAGATCAGGGATATTATACCTGTGTAGCGAGTAACGTCGGGGGATCCACTAGGATTACGTACAAAGTCGAAGTTAACGGTATGTAATGTTCATATTTTAATTATTAGTTTTGCAAAATGTAAACTTTCAAAATATTTCTTGTTACTAGATGTTACTAGTTTTCTAAAGAAATATAATATACAGTTACTTAAGTACTTGATTTTTTGTTATTTATATTTTTCAATTTTGTTAATATCTCATGATATATCATTTCAGATTTTCCAAGTTATTGTTTAAGATAGACTTGGATAAAAATCAAGTGATCCTATTTCAAAGAAAAAGCAATAAAAACTTAAAACTATTAATGCTTATTTCCAGCTCCACCTGTAATCAAAAAGTCCTATCAAGATAACAGTTTTAAAGCTGTAACAGGGGATTTGATGCTAAAAATTTCGTGCATAGCCACTGGCAGCCCAGAACCGACAATCGCATGGGAAAAGGATGGTTTAAATATCGCTTTTGGTAATATTTACGTTACACATTGTATTTGTAATCATATTAAATATGAATTTATCACACACTATTGCTTCATTGAACATCAGCAACGCTAATATTTTCAACACAATGATTACGATATAGGATTATAAACATAGCTGTTAATTGCCTCACATTGTCCCACACAACAGAAAAATATAACATACTAGCAGACCCGGGTACGTTTACACGTGATGTGTCAAACTCTATCTTTATTCCTAAAAAAAATTAAAAATAACTACACTATCTAAAATGAAAGTTCAGGCAGGCAAAATTATTACGAGTATTAAATTTAAAGACGATATAAACAAGTTTATGAAATTGATAAGTAACATTCAAATTAATTTTGCACGCATACATACATGAAGAGTAAATCTATTAATGGAACTAGATACTACTAGCTCATAAGTAGAACAATACTAAAAGCTGTATAAATAATATATTTTGGTGTTTTGTTTTTAGTAAATTATACTGAGTAATTTCAGAAATCATTTTAAACTAATTGCTATTTAAGAAAACATGAATTCAAAACGGCGTTATTACTGCAGTCAATATATAATTTTGATTTACTCTAAATTACACATGAAGAGCACCATTATTATTTCTAGGCACTGAATGGTATGACATAGACAATGGAACGCTGATAATCAAGAATATTGATAAAGGCTCTCAAGGTGCTTATACATGCTTAGCTCGAAATAAAATAGGGAATGCTACTATGAACTACTATGTGACCGTCTCAGGTAATGTAATCTACTAATATACTTTATATTCTTATATAAAAATACACAGTGATGGCTGCCATTGCTTTATTGGTGTGGATAAACACGAACCACTTCTTTAAAATAACATGACTATGTGCGGGAAGCACAGCTTGGGTAGCACATAAAAACATTCACTAGTAGGACAGCGATACTGCGATTGATAATATAGACAAATATATTTTTTTATTTAAAGTTTAGATTTAAATACATTCCCATAATACTTTTTTACAGATTATCCATTAATTACTGGTCCCGTGTCTAAAATGTTTATTGAAGAAGGACAATTAGTCAACTTACCTTGTAAAATCCCTCATACAAGGATTGACACAGTCCGTTGGTATAAGGTAATCTAAACACATTTCTTTTGTTTTTGGATTGGCCATTTATAAGAAATCGAGAAAAACTAATTTATTCACGTGTGCAACATTGTAACTTCATTTATGAAACCAACACTTGAAGCACAATGCATTAATATTTTTGTTACTTTTTAATGTTATCAATGAGATAACGTTTAATCAAATTTTACAGAATCAAAAAATTGTTGGTAAAGGTGAACTGATACTCAGAAGAATAACAAAAAGAGACGAGGGCACCTACTCTTGTCGCATTAGTGACTTTGAAAAATCCAGTTCAGCTCATGTTCATGTATTAGTTGGAAAGAAGCCATCATTTATTACAGATGAGGAAGAAGTAATTGACTTCTTAGAAGGTGATTCAGTTCCTCTAATTTGCGAAGCCATTGGAGATCCAGAACCCGAGGTACTTATAAAGTCCTGTATACAGAGCATTTCAACAATATTCATATATATATACATATATAAATATTTAATAGTAGGCAATCGGAGTGTTTACTAATTTTAATTATAATTAAGGTATTAAGAGGTATATATATTTTTATTAAAGTAAAAAATAAAAACAATTTTTGATCTGTTCTCGAAATATGAGAAAGGAAAGCCGACATCATATTGTCATCAAGTTGGTGACAAACTAAGCGAATTTTAAATTTTTGAATATTTTATTCTTGCCGTAGAACTTCCTTAAATAGTCCCATGGGATGGAGAGGCTTCAGCAAGGAGAGAAAGTACAAATCTAACCAGAATATCTTCTTTCTTGTTAGATTTGTAGGCAGAGCCTAAAGCGCTGGGGCTACAAATTGTTGTTAGCAGCTACTAAGAATGGAGTTTTGGAGATTAGGGGGTAAAGTAAGGGATGAACTGCCTTATGGAAGTTCTTCATTTTCAAAGCCAGAAACACGTACGCTAGACGTGTTTACCCATTATAGGGTATACCCATTATTCTATGATAGAACATCATGACATACATGGCTTATATTACTTAAAAAATTATGGTACCGTAATGGCTAAGGCGTTGAACTTGCGATCAATTGATTGCGCACTACTGACCTGAACTTACTCCATATATAACCATTAAGCTTAGATAAAGAGGTATACAAGAACATTAATAATCAACGTTACTATAATAATAAATTGGAGTATATCATACAGAAGGTATCCTGGCACTTCAACGGCGAAGAAATGGATGTAACAGAAATGACCTACCATTTGCGAATGATGTTGGATAATAGAGGAAATTATACTTGCGAAGTCAGCAACGATTTTGGAACCATCCAACGCTCATTTAGGATTGTAACCAAAGGTAAAATATTAATAAAATAAAATAATATTGACATCACGGATGACTGCACGGATGGCGTAGTGGTTTAAGCGGTCACCTCGCCGCTCAATACTTGTGTGATCCACAAATTCTTGTCCTGAGTCTGAGTATTCTTTGTGTCCGTTTTATGTATGTTTGTAAAGTCCCCCACGACACAGGATATATTCCTAATGCGGACGTTGTCTTTTTTGACAAAAAAAAAAAAAAATATTTACTGAATGCACAAACCTTTGTTATAATATACAGCTCAATTTATTTGCTCTCGATCGTTTTTAGAGTGCTTTACTATGATTAAAGAATTTTGGCTTTACTTGTCGTCTCGTCGTGTTTTATATATAACCTGTGTGCTCTCCCAACTTTGTTAACTTTGGTGCCTTAATTATGTCGATATCATTAACAGTAATTTTATACCAGTTATTACATCTCTAGTTTTTTAAATAATATATAATATATTTGATAGATGTTGCAAAAACTTTTCTATTACTTTATAATAGGTATTTAAAAATAACCAAGAATGAAACCACCAACCACCAACCAATGTACGTAGAGAAACTACTATTGAACTTAGTTGCAATAAGTTTTCTGCGCGGTGAACATTACTTTTTACACAATACTTTAAGCGTTATTTGTTGTCACTTCTTCAATTACAGATTGTATATTAGACATGAAAAAAGACTTCCTGAAGGATAATGAACCTTTACTGTTATCAGCATCACTTACATGGCCATCTTTCAATCTTTTCGAAGGGTACATGTTTATAGCCAAAAATGAACCATTTTATTTACATTGCCAAAAAGGCTTTCGTAGGTTTCCTTCAGTCAATACTGTTATGGGATTTTGTGAAAGTGAAACGAATATAAATATACAAGGAAAGATTTTCAAATACACGGATATTAAATGTAATGAAGAAAATGAACCAGCTATCCGAAGAAGCTACTCAAGTTGTCGACCTGGCAATACCGAATATATACAAGTCGGATATCAAGTATATCACAGTTTTCTAGAAGTGTATGATGTGTGCTTGGATAAAAAAAACAATGTGCCTTTATACGCTCAACACAAAATATATGGGGAACAAAATGGAGTTGTAAAAAATGTTACGAAATGGTACCGTAATGATTTGATGACTCTTGATTCCGATTCAATGTATGACTGCAGGAGTCAAGTCGACGACATATCGTCTAAATTAGGTAGACCTTTTCACCTACATGACGATTGTTGTTTCGGTAAAAGACAGCTGGTTAATCCAAAAGACTTACGGCCTGGTGTACCTACAGCTGCGGTATATACGTATTTAAACGTCGTGCCTCAGTGGAGTACATGTAATTCAAAGGTAATTTTTGTTAGTGTTATTAAGACTTAAGTACCGACTTTTAATTAAGACTTAGCATCTTGGTGATTTGCTCTCTGGAACGGCTGGACCGATTTCGACGGGACTTTCACTGGCAGATAACTGATGACATAAGAAGTAACTTTTTTTAGACTAGCTTCGCCCCGCGGCGTTGCCCGCGGTTATAACAACAAATGCGGGTAACACCGCGGGTCTCAGCTAGTTACTAAATATGAGTTGAGTTTTAACGTGAAAAGCTTAGTATCCAAGAATCTAATACGAGTATGCCATTATTTTGTTTTGTATTTTAGTATTCTGCATATGCGCGTATATGATATAAGTATCTTCATTATAACACACGAAAAGGTCGACATAATTGCGAGTATTCTATCTACTCACAGAACCACAGGATCCGCACCCTCATGCGTAGAATCAAATGTTTGAAATTAAATTAGTAAAAACTTAATTTTGTATTCTGAAAAAATGTTTGTATTTGATATTATACCTGAAGTAATTAACTTTTATTGTTCATTGGTACAAAATGAGATGATAATGTTCAAAATTAACATTTTGAGTTATTTTCAACGTTCATTTCGATAAACATTATAAATTAATTATACAATATACCAATCATCATATGCATTAAAAATGTTTTTCGATTAAAGTTCAAATAATTATGCTATAATAAAGATTAACGTGGACTACGTGAAATTATCCTCGTTAATCTACGATAAACGGTTGAGAATATATATTTATATATATATATATTTATTTTTATTTATTTTTGCATAAACCATAAATTTATTAGTCTGTAAGCCTTCTTCAAAAGTAAATAAATAAATAAAGTGTTAAACATTATGTCTCGGTAATGTAAAACCCTTTGTTCCATATTTGTTCTACGTAAACGTCCCTATGGCACTCATCTCACGGTGCGCCTTTGACTCTGATGACTATCCGCCTTCATCAACAGCCTTTAATAGTCCATTCCTGGACATAGACCTCTCCTTAGGAAGGAGGTTTAGGCCTACTATCAGCCTTAGTGTACCTACCTAATATATATATATATTTAAGTTTAATTTGACTTACGAACTTCAGTGTACTTTTATATTTTTAGAATTGGGACAATTTAGAAGAAAAAGTAAGGATGTTTAGCAAATCGTTTGAAAATACCCTTACAGTATTGACTGGAACAGCAAACCGACATCCAAGGTCCAGGTCTCGGCAACACAAAGGGATTGTACTCCATGACCAGCGCGGTAGAAAACAACCTGTATCACAATACTTGTGGAAGGTAACGCGTATAGTGGGTTGACTTGCTACGAGAGCTGCTATTGATGTATCTGAAATAACAAAGTGAAACAAACATATTGGTAACGCCACCTGTCCATAGAGACAGGAACTCTGTAAGTTTTAGTTTAAAATCCCGCTGGGTGAGGCTGTCGACACCTATCAATCCCTTGATCATATATCGACATCCCGCACGCACGCCGCTAAAAGGACAGTCGGTGACGCTCGAGACGCGAGGCACACCGCACGTTATTTTTTTTTCTCTTCGCTACCGCATCTCATATAAACTTTAAAACCAAAGATATTGGAATAACACGCGCCGCGTTCCTTGCTTGCCTTGCCGGCAAGGTAGTGACTTTATACCGCGCAGCGCGCCGCCATTTTGTTTCACAAGCCACACCGAAGCCACGAGAGACCTGGCTGCCTGATCAGCCCGCCAGGTCTGGACAGCAGCTTGACCAGCATCTCAAGACCATCAAGGTAGGCGTGCTTTCCCATATCCTTTTACCCACCTGTCCGGCAGCCGTAACGTACTCAGCATATCAGCTTCAGGCAGCGCTTAGTCGCTGAAGATATCTGCGCACCCGCCAGTTGGCGCTAACACATATAGCATTTATTCTATAAACATATAGTTTTATTGCTTTACAAAATATTCACCGTAAAGATCGATGCACTTTTGCACACCTTGGAAGCAATTTTCGTAGCACTTTTTCCATTCTGATTGTGGTATCTTCAAAACGTGCATTTTGAATGCATCAAGGGTCGAAACAGTTGACCACGTAATTTATTCTTCACGGTTGGGAATAAATAGAAGTCAGGGCTATACGGTAGAGGAACCGTTTATTTGATCTTCTGATGTTCCAAACACTGAGTTGTTTCGGCCTATGTGCAGCAGCTAGCATTGTTATGATGAAGAAGGATTCTGCGTTGTCGGTTATCCTTTCTTATTTGGTAACAAATGGTCGTGTACCATTCAAAATTAACCATTTTACGATCCTCTAGTGAGAGTCTAGTGGCACTGTAGCCACATGTCCATTATACCAAAAAAAACAAGCGACCATTTGCTTTCGAAGTGCTTTTTGAACGAATGGCTTTTGTTGGGTTCGGCTCATCTTGGAACACCCAAACCCAAATTGGTGTTTAGTTTCAGGATCATACGCGTATATCCAAAATTCATTACCTGTGTAGATATTATAGACAGCTTTTGATGCACCCTGATTGTACTTTTGTAACATTTTTTACGCCAATAGAGACGAACCCGTTTTTGTTAAATTTTCAAGTTGTGCGGAATCCAACGTGAAAATTTTTTTTCACCGCTAAATGTTCGTGTAACATTTTATTTATACGAGGGCGGGTCAATAAGTCCGTGACTTTTGGAATAAAACACAGATTTTTTGATAAATAAAACATTTTATTTTTCAACGTAGTCTCCCTTGAGCTCTATACACTTTGTCCAACGCTTCTCCAAAATTTTTATCCCTTCCAAAAAATATGATTTGTCGAGGTCCTCAAAATAGGCCTTTGTTTGTAAGATGACTTCATCATTGGAGTTAAATCTTTTTCCACCAAGCCATTTCTTCAGGTTTGGGAACAAGAAGTAGTCACTCGGAGCCAAATCTGGAGAATAGGGCGGATGAGGGAGCAATTCATAGCCCAAATCATGGATTTTTGCCATGGCAACTGCACATGTGTGCACCCTTGCATTGTCTTGGTGGAAAAGAACTTTGTTCTTGGCCAAATGAGGTCGGTTTTTTTTCAAATCGTCATTGAATCAGTCCAATAAGTTGGCATAATATTCCCCATTGATTGTTCTTCCCTTTTGAAGGTAGTCAATGTGGATTATTCCGCGTGCATCCCAAAAGACAGTCGCCATAACTTTATTGGCTGACAATCCCACCTTGGCCTTCTTTGGCGCCGATTCACCCTTAGAAACCCACTGTTTTGACTGTTATTTGATCTCTGGTGTGTTGTGATGGATCCATGTTTCGTCCACGGTTACAAAACGGCGCAAAAACTCCTCCATATTGCGATTAAACAACGCCAAACCTTCCTGTGAAGTTGTTACACGATTGCGTTTGTGGTCGACTGTGAGCAATCGCGGCACCCATCTTGCGGAAAGCTTTCTCATGCCCAAGTGATCATTCAAAATTGAAACCACTGAGCCATGCGAGATCCCTACGGCTTCCACAATCTCTTGCACTTTCAATCTTCGGTCGGCCAACACCATATCGTGAATTTTTTCGATTGTTTCGGGTGAAGAGACCTCAACTGGGCGTCCAGGACGTTCGGCATCTTCAGTGCTTGTACGGCCACAAAGAAATTCAGTAAACCACTTTTTTACCATTGAAATCGATGGTACAGAGTCCCCATAGTATTTATCAAGCTTAGCCTTGGTCTCGGTAATGGTTTTTTTTCGCAAAAAATAATGCTTAATAAGCACACGAAATTCACTTTTTCCCATTTTTTCCTCAAATTACTGGGTAGTCTGATAAAGATAGCTGTCAAACACAAACTAACTGACGCAGCAAGTTCAAATTTTGAAAGGAGTCAACTGACAGATGCCTGTTGACATGCCTGTTGACAGGAGTAGTGTTGCTTTTTCAGTAAAGAGGTTAGAAATTCAAAAAGTCACGGACTTATTGACCCGCCCTCGTACTCCTCATACTTATTCCCAGAGACGCCTCTGTCTCGCGATATGTAACATGACGATTTAGGGCGACCTTTAAATTTGTCAGTAAGCACATACCGCCATCGATTAAACTCACTAAACCAGTGATATACAGTTGTTTTTTTATTGTGATTCGTCCCCAAAAGTCGAAGTGAATTGATCGATGCACTGGTTTTGAGTTAGCCCTCGCCGGAAATCGTAATAAATCATTTCACGAGTTAAATCCATAGTGATAAAGACACACAATTTGAAATGACGCCACAAAGGATAAACAAATGACAGCTAAATGAAACAAATTGTATTCTTCAGCCAAAGAGTTCCATTTTTAAATGTTATAATTTTTAAAACTTTTTTAATATTGTGCTGTAACTGGCCAGTTCCGGATACATAAATAGCAGCCCCGTATAATTTGAGTCTTTTGGTTAGCCAGACGTGAAATTGATGTGGGAATTATAATTTTTTTTTAAATTTTAGGTTGTCCAAAATCCGGCGTCATCAAGCTCTCTTGCTATAGTACAAGTGAATGTTCCCGATTTATCACCAGCAGACGTTCCCTCACATATTCACTGTAGAGATATCTGCAATGAAATTGAGTGGATGAAGGACACCAATTGGCACAATGTGGCAGACGGTTATACGTATTGCTGTTCAATCCTAGATTTCGAGTCGGCTTTTAATTTTAAAAGACAGTTCAGCCGCGATAAAACCGCTGTTTTATACAATGACCTAATCATGCCGAGGTATCATTACAGTCTAACGACTACGTAAATACAATAACGTTTTGTAATGTAATGAGATTGTGTCATGTCAATCAAAGTAAAATCTTGTATTTATAAACATTTTTGGTTAGTAAAATGATTTAGTACCACAGCTAATAGACATTCTGAGATGCAGTTAATATAGTGTTGTGTTTAGGACTTCAAAAACACAACAAAATTAAGTAAAAGTAAACAAAAAATAGCCGTAGTAGTATTTTGTGATATATGTATTTATCTCTTTTGATATAGGTACTCGTATTTGATCTTCGATTTCATATACTTTAAATTAAGATTAAGGGTAAGCCTGATTAAAATTTACAGTTTAACTGTAATTAATGCCTGTGACTAATGATACTTTATTTATTAGTAGATTAGTTAAATTTACTTGTCTTTCATAAGTGAAGATAATAAATTAAGTAATTATTTTTTATGTTTTCATTCTGAATAACTTTAATGATATAAATACTTTGTATGTAACCCCGTGTATTTTGATGAAGCCTTACTAGGCTAGTATTGAATACAACCATTTTTGTTTAGTTTTTATTTTAATAAAGTTTTCTTCAATAAAATTTGTTATATTGAAAGGAAAGAAAATATTTTTATTCACTCAACTAATATGCCTAATATTAGTTGAGTGAATAAAAATATTTTCTTCTTTTTTATTTTTAAACCTTTGTTTCTGTGTGTGTGTTTGTGTCTTCTTGTCAGAGCTATTTTTTTATTATTTTATTTTAATTTGTAAAATAAATTAATAATTAGACACATCTCACACACGGCTATGATCCCAAGTAAAACCTGTCTTATGGTAACAAGACTGCTAATAATAAATAAATACATAAAATAATTATATATTTTTAGTTCATAAACATTACAAATAAGTTAAGTCAGATGCAAAACAAATGATAGCCTGATGCCTATAACAAAATTATTTTACCTTAGCAGTATCACTAGACCAATAGATCGGTGAAATTATGTGTTGTTTTCTAGGAACAATAGAAATTATTATTAGTAGATTGTTTTATATTTTTGGTTTCTCTAGTTCAGAATGCAACTATTACATGCACTATTTTATTTTCATTCAAATTTATAGTTTCATGTAAAGTCCTAAATAAATCATTTATTTTCGTAATTGTGATTTGACATGCTTGAGACCAAACTGTGTTACGTATCCCCAGGGCTGCCAGAAAAACAAAATTAAATGTTGTCTTGAGATGCTCATACCCGCCACCAAATAGTAAAGTACCCTGTAACTCTGGTAATGTCTTTCATAGATACAAATAAAAGAATATGACAACCACATATTATATTACCTCCTGCAGCATTAATATTTCAGAGCTCATTTTGACAGCAACAAATCGTTTAATTGTGTAAAATTGATAATTTGAGATTATTGAATGTTAATAGAATGAGTTTAGACGTATTATATGAGCTACAACATACTTTCAATACAATGCGTGGAGGCCGCGGCATTGACATTATAGTGGCATTATGTTCTACGAGTATTACTATTAACAGTTATTAGGTACGTGATTACTCAGTATCTCATCGCTGTACTTTTAATCCAAAAAAAATTTAAACAGTGTTACTCATCTAATAAATTATACAGCTAGTTTGATAATATTTTAAAATAGATATCACCGACTTAATTGCGCTTAAATTATTGTAACTTATAAGTTGTAGGTATGTTTCAATCCTTATATTTTCATCCTCAGGAGTGGTATTTTATCTTCAAATTTGAATGGAAACAACCGGGAAGTGTAATCTATAAAAAAAAAACAATAGCACTCCGGGAGTGCCGACAGAAGAGAAAACTTATATACAAAGGTGTCTGTAACAGTAACGGTAACTATGTTGTTCAATTGTTTTTTTCCATCTCAAAAAATGCAAAACCCGCTCTAAAGAAATTTTCACTTCAAAAACAGATTTTTTTCATTCGGTTCATAAATAACGGAGTCCTCGAGGTACTAAAGATAAGAAATAGGTACAATCAATCGAATAAAGTTTTTGAAGTCGGTTAAAGCACAATCGATAAACTCGTTGACAATACTTAAGACTGTAGTTGAAATCACTAGCAAAGTGTATAGTGCAAAGTAATTATTAATTGTACATGAAACAATCATATGTTGCACATAAAGAAAGTTGTTTGTAAAAAGACGAACTTAACTCAGAGCTCAGTGTTGTGTATATTTATAGTTCTTACAATCAACGATTAACAAATAATTATTTGTTAATTGTGACAGCAACAATTAACAAAAAAAAAAATAAAAATTTATAGTGATAAGCAATTTTTACTTACTTACGAAAACGTTTTAAGGGGTATAAGAGCCTTGAAAAAATTGTACGGAAGTCTTTAGACTTTTGTGCTAAAAACCTGAAATTCTGGAAGGGTTTAGTTTATAGGTACATACATAATAATGGTTTTTTTTTATATTTTTTATTCTACAACTTAATGATACCCCTGAAATCACTGTCATTCATTGTCAATTATACATCAGGCACCGAACCAACATTTTGTTATCTTATTTCTTGTAAACAGTCAGAACCTTATTATGATTCAATAAAATAAATTCAAGGCACAATTAAAGTATGATTGTTCTCTGTAGCTCTGAATTATATTTATTTTAAAATTTAATGTCATCATCTATCATCATCATTAGCAAATAAACTTATTTTATATATTTTCGTAAGCAGTTTACGATTTCATTTAATTTTTGTGTGTTTGAAATCTAACTTTGCTAGACATGAGCTCTGTTAAAGCAAGCCTATGAAATGAACGAAGTACAATAGGTATAATAAATAAAATTCAGAGCCATATTACATTCATAAAAAAATGAAATAGCAATAAAAATATATGCTTATAGAAGTTCCTTGCGGGTTAATAAGGGATAGGAGTTAATATTAAATACGCCCGATAATATTCACTTTTAACAATTATACCATAGGATTTCTAATACTATACATAACATAATTTACTAAATAATAATTTTCTAACTTAGCGGTATAGAAAAGAATAAAACCATACACAGAATTAAGATTCTCTTTTTTTATTGGAAAATATTATTATTAAATTGTAAGGAGGCCGAGAGGCCTTTGTCCAGCAGTGGACTGTGACAGAGTGAGAAAAAATATTTTTATAATGTTTTCCACAACGCTTTCATCATATAATCTATACCAATGTACTCCATATGTATGTTAACCAATTCAAGAACAGACAATAAAAAGAAACGTTTACTAGACCGTCTCCATGATTTTAGTTTTATTATTCAGATCGTATAGTTCGTTTTAAGAGGTAAGAATAGTGAAAACCTTTTTTAAATGTGGCTACGAACTCTATTGACTTAATCAAATAAGTATTAGTTTACAAAATTCATGCCCACTCCTCCTGATGACCTTGACGTCTATACGAAGAACCACTAAAAAGAAACACGTGCCATCTTATAAAAGTTGACTCACTTGTACAGTCATCTACAATAGTTCATAAAACCAAACACAAGAATCTACTGTAAGTAACTGTTACAAATAGTACAAAATAATATTAACTAAAACTCTCTTGTGCTAATCCTAGGTGTAAATCAATATTCCATAAGTAGATAGAAAGCAAAGTAGCAAAATGACGCCTCACAAAGTGTCGATGGGATTAAACATCGTTCTTCTTGCATCGATTAGGTTAATGAGAGCTATTACAGTACGTCAAACCCCACAATCTTACTGATAACCTTTTATAGTAATGGATAGAGTTAGTTTAAGACGAGCCGACCTGTTAAATTTGTCACTGCGGCAATGGAACGAACACATATCAACCATATTAACACTGTTTGTCTATCAACTTACGTTTGAATGCTATGCTATGCTATGTTTGAATGCTAAGCACTAAACAAAAAATTGGTGTTCAGTACATTTTTTAAGGTTCTGATGTTAAGATTTATTTAGCACAACAGTCAGCTGCAACAGTCAGCAATAATATATTCTTGAGTTCAGGTGTTACGTCTATTTTATTTATAATAGACTTTTGTAGCTGTCTGTACCCAGAATAGCAATTGACCGAAGTCGATTCATTATATTTCTATTCATGAATTCAAAATATTTAACAGTATTTTGTTACAATTGACCGAATCAATTGTCTCATGAGATACATATGGCCAATATCATGACTATTTTAAGTTGTAAATATTTAGATACAGTCCCCGCACTTTATATTTATATATCCAGGCTTCACATGTTTTTACATTTGTTATTAAAGTTGCTAAGCAACAAAATTGCTTACGCAGTTCCAAAGTTAAATTATTATTATTTTTTTGCTAACATATGCATAATTTTTGTATGTTCTTACTTGGTTGTGATGTATAATTGAAGTAAGCATTTAACGGGTCCCACGTACGTTGGCGCAAATTTTTGAAACACATGAATATTAAAAGATCAGTTCACTCTCATTATATATATCACTTAATAGGCGATTAGGTGATTATTATATCCATTTCCGGCAATCATTTTTTTTTGTACATTTAGATAAGGCCACATAATGCTATTAATTATGTATAAACACGTCGTAAAATAGCATCCTCTTGAATTTGAAAGGAAAAACTAGGAAATATAATAATGGTAAATTATAAATACAAAATACCGTAACATATGTCTAACATGTGATCCAAACGAAAGAGGAAGAAAGTCAGAAAACTCCGGAGTATTCCACTTGCGGCACCACTTTTTCTAGTTTTGGATTTTTTTCAGCACCTGCCCTCCAATCACTAGAAACTTACGGCAGTGCTAAATGACGAACACAAACACATGTAGATAATTATTTTCTAATAGCGATGGCACTGATAATAATATCTCGTAACACAGTATTTAAAGGTTAGTAATTCGTTTCGTGATAAACAATACGAAAGAAGCACGACATATTGCACAGAGACTACACAAGAAGAATTGTCGATTATTGACTTTTGACCCTATACTATCAGACATATTCAAATGGACGTTAATTTGCTTTAAGGACAATGCCGTGTGCAATCA